ATCGACTTAGAATCTTGGTTAACTTTTTTTGTACCAGTCAACTTTTTGACTGAACTGGTTGAGATATTAAATTGAAAGTTGGAATACTTGTTTACCATCATGGTCCCAAAACATGGGCAGGAGAAGGTAATTCTGTTAAGGATTTTATTTGAATTATGGCCCTTTTTGACTTAGAAACTCAGTTAAAATTTTCATTCTTGTCCACTTGTTGACTTAACCATTTGAGATATTACTTTGGAAGTTGGAGTTCTTATGTGCCATCATGAGACCTATCTGTAAGCAAGAGAAGATAACTCTGTGAAAATGTTTCTTGATTTGTACTTAGAAATTCCTAGTTAAAGTCTTGTGTGCCCTTAACTGTCAAAGTTTTGTTTTATAGGCAAGCACTAAAAAAGTCGAGCGCGCTGTCCTTCTGACAGCTCTTGTACCATTTCTCGTAATGATGTAAAATAATTTTAATACTTATGACTATTTTTATGTAAAGCAGCTTGATTTTAAAAACTTGTATATATTACTTTTAGATAGGTGACAGGAATTTCTATGAAACAAATGTATTTATAAAAATAGGGTGTGTTGATTTTATTCTCAATGCACAGTGATATTTGAAAGGTGAACAAGCAAGTGCATTTATTATCCATGATAATATTCATCGAATATCATTGATTGTTTGTGCTTTAAACTTGCCCAGGATAGGTTTGTGCTTTAAATTTTTCCAGATATGTTGTCAGGACTCTAATGTGCCAAATGGTTAAGGTCAATTACTGAATAATTTGCATCTGCCACTGTAGGTTCAAATCCTACAAAGGGCGTTGAATTCTTTCCTACGTTGTGTATTAAGGTAGTGTGTTAGTTTGTTTATGCTAATAAATTTTAGTTTGATTGTGTAGGAGGCTATAAGCTTATTGTCCCCCGCCTTTTCGAAGAAAAAAGGGGGATATAGAAATAGGCTCCGTCCGTCTGTCCGTCCGTCACACTTTCGTGTCCGGTCCATAACTTTGTCATTTATGAAAGGAATTTGAAATAACTTGGCACAAATGTTTATTATAATAAGACGATGTGTCATGCGCAACAACCAGACCCCTACCTCCAGGGTCAAGGTCACACTTGCTCATTCAAGGTCAAAATTGCCTATTTGAGGGTATATGTCGTGTCCGGTCCATAACTTTCTTATCTATCAAGGGATTTTGTAAATACTTGCCATAATTGTTCACAATAATCAGACGATGTGTCATGTGCAAAAACCAGTCACCAACCTTCAAGGTCAAGGTCACACTTGGAGGTCAAATATTAACATAGTCTGTTACAGGGTATATTTCGTGTCCGGTCCATAACTTTCTTATCTATGAAGGGATTTTGTAAATACTTGCCATAATTGTTCACAATTATCAGACGATGTGTCATGCGGAAAAAGCAGTCACCTACCTTCAAGGTCAAGGTCACACTTGGAGGTCAAATATTAACATAGTCTGTTACAGGGTATATTTCGTGTCCAGTCCATAACTTTCTTATCTATGAAGGGTTTTTGTAAATACTTGCCATAATTGTTCATAATAATCAGACGATGTGTCATGCGCAAAAACCAGTTGCCTACCTTTAAAGTCAAGGTCACACTTGGAGGTCAAATATTAACATAGTCTGTTACAGGGTATATTTCGTGTTAGGTCCATAACTTTGTCATTTATCAAAGGAATTTGAGATAACTTGGCACAAATGTTTGTTATAATAAGACGATGTGTCATGCGCAACAACCAGACCCGTACCTTCAGGGTCAAGGTTGTACTTGTTCATTCAAGGTCAACATTGTCTATTTGAGGGTATATGTCGTGTCCAGTCCATAACTTTCTTATCTATGAAGGACTTTTGTAAATACTTGCCATAATTGTTAACAATAATCAGATGATGTGTCATGCGCAAAAACCGGTCACCTACCTCCAAGGTCAAGGTCACACTTGGAGGTCAAATACTTACATAGTTTGTTACAGGGTATATTTTGTGTCAGGTCTATAATTTTTTCATAGATCAAAGGATTGTGAAAATACTTCGCACAAATAGTCACTATAATAAGAGGATGTGTCATGCGCAACACCTGCATCCCTACCTCCAAGGTCAAGGTCACACTTAGAGGTCAAAAATTAACATAGTCTGTTATAGGGTATATTTTGTGTTGAATCTAGAACTTCTTCATAGTTCAAGGGATTTTGAAATAACTTGGCACAAATAGTCACAATAATAAGACGTTATGTCATGCACAACACCTGCTCCTCTACCTCCAAGGTCAAGTTCACACTTAGAGGTCAAAGCTTAACATGATAGATTTTTAAATTCCGTGTTTCATATTATTTTTTTAACAAATTTATTGTTACATTTGCAGATCTAGCATTGATCATAATTTTGGACTGAATGTTATGAGATCCATACCTCAATCTTTTGAAATAGCACAATTTTATGCTTCATATAAAACTCCCGGGGCGGGGGACGTTGGTAACTCTGTTACAAATTCTTGTTTAAACAGTCTCTTGAATCTGTTCCTGGAACCAACAAGTACTAAGCAATAACTTTCCTGCTCAGGGAAACAACAGCTTGTCCCTGACAGGGTTTGAACTCATGTGGCCAGCAATCCTTAGATTACTAACAAATGATTAGTAACAATCTATAAAAAAAGATAAAAACACCTGTAGGAATATGGGAAACTTGTGTTATCAAGGTCATGTCTATGTTAACATTAATATATCTTAGACATAAAGATAATTTTGATAAAATCTGACAACTTTGATTTGATCACCCTATTTTCATATCATATAATACAAGTTAAAAGATAATCTAAGATTTTTTTATACATGTTAAACTTTGTCTGAGGGAGTTGCGTATACAGACAATTTATCAAGCTTAGTTATGATCCCTGTTTAAGGGTATTTAAATAATCGCGTAAATCCTTGTGTATTAGTTTAGTCTATGCTATAATATTCTTGTCACAATATTTGCAGTGTCATCTTGAATATGTCACATTACAATGTAGTTGAAATTAAAGGTGCCGAAAAAAATGGAAAATTATAATAGCACCAAATATTAGGCTTAACGTACCCCCCTCTTTGTCTTACAAGTTGTGTGAAAAGTGCATGTCATTGTTCTTAAATAGATTTGTCAAAGGTGTGAAATCTGCAAAGATTGGGCAGTTTTATTTTTTTTAGGACGATCATTTATTTACATTATAATTTTTATTGCATAACTAGAACAAAATGTTTTGGAAGATTTGCTCTAATCGCTGGCTTAGATCTTTAAAGGAACTCCACAGAGGTCAAAAAGCCTAAAACTTAAAATTTGAAATAATACAGAAATTCTTACATAGAAAATGGAAAATCTTTTAAATAATAATAAAGAAATATACTTAGAATTAAATTGGATATCATTTTTTCTGTCTGATGTTTAGCCTGATTTGAGTGAAATTGGAGGTCAGTTTGCACAATAAAAATGATTGTTCTAGAAAATGGAATGAGGGAATGATCTGAAAATTTGCACACAAGTTATTGGTCCAGACCTCCATCAAATGGTACTTCTGTCATGTCACAAACCTCAGTGGAGTCCCTTTAATCACTAACCTGAAAAAACTGGAGCACATAGCACAAACAAACAGAATTAAAAAATCAGGGCTAGTTTTCTCTTTCTTTCACTAAATCATTTAATTTAATTTCAAGGTAATTTTAACACTGTAGTGTCAATTTACTGGAGACCCAGTTCTGTTTCAGTTTTGTCACATTTTCAATTAATCTTGAAAGTTTAATTTATGTGTAAACAGTTTTTCATTTCCCTGTCACTGATTGGACTGGGCATTGGAATTCAGTGTTTATTACCCGACTATCATTTATTTTGAATGAAAACTGACCTTTATTGAAGGGCCCTTTCAAAGTTATAGAAAACATACTTTTGTTCAAAGTTGATTTTAACAGTTAAAAGTGAAAAGGTGCAATGGACAAATAGAATTAAAAAGGTATAAAGAAAAATACTTGTGGGCAAAGATTGAATTGGTTCAGTTATGTTGGCAAACTTGCACAAAAATATAAAAGATTTTTTAGACTTTATAGTATAATATTGACTAATATGAAATATGTTAAAAGCAAACCAACAAACAGATATTTCATTAATTTTATATATAATCAATTTCATAGTCAACAGGAAAATTTTGCTATGCTGACTATAATAAATGCTAAAAATAGACAATATATTTTAATCAATTAATTTATTGATGAAATAAGTTAATGACAAAGAAGGGCCCCTCACGAATGTCACACAAAACCTTTGGCCAAACCCTTTTTTTATATATAATTGTGTAGAAATGTTTATGTAAAATAAATTGATGTGCATTTAATATATATAAATAAACTATAAGTTATTAACTATTAAATATATACAGATGATCAGGTGTTACTTTAAAAGATTCCTCTATCAAAGACTAATAAAAAATGCTTTAATTTTGTCTGTTTGAATAAATTGAAATAAGAAATGGATACCTAAATTAATTCACTGAAATTAGCTTCTGATAATTTGTATTAATTAAAATTCACTGTAGAAAAATAAGAGTCCCCAGGTGTTTGTTAACTTTCTTTTGAAATAATGTCTGATAATATTATAAAAAGGACATTAAAATATTCATATACCTTTAAATCATCAAGAACTAGATCCTGTAATGTATTTTATATTAAAAATTTAAGAAATTTAGTTTTATAAATTATCCTCATAAAAATTCAGTTCATTATGCTATTTTATCAGATTTTGTACGTTTTCAATTTCATATGAACAGAAAAAAGATTTTACTTGTCACGTAAATCTTCTAGTCTTTTACAGGTGTATCTAAACATTATACCATAGATCAGTTTCCATAAATCGTCCATGATAGAAAATTTGTTTGAAGATAGCAAACAACCCCCTCAAAAAGATCGTTAAATTAATCGTCCATTTTATTTACAATGGGACCATATACAGTGTAAGGGGTAGAAACAGACCGTATTAAAACGAGCGTATAGATGCACCTTGTAGCTCAAATATCACTTGTGAATTTGAATGGAACGTTGCGATAATCCACCTTGAATCGGTGAATATCGTAAAACGTGTGCACGTTAGTAATAAGGTATTGATCGCAAAAATATTATATTTAATAATCTCCGTTTACCCGACAAGACGTGTTTGTCAGATACTGAGATAGTGGGATAGTAAACGGTCTTAAATTGAAATGTTAGCTAAATGTTTATTGGCGTACATTGGATTTACAATGAAAATAAATCTATCGTAAGATATTTATCTGCTGAAATTTGTGTGTCATTAAAAAGTGTGATTAAAATATAATTCGGTTATTTTTTTTCGGAATAATATAACCAGTGTGTATAATTTATTTGTGAAAGTGTATTAAACAGTGTTGAGGATATTAATTTCATAAGATATTGTCATTTATGGATATATTCACTAATAAAGGTAGGCTATGACACTGACTATACTGTTGTACAATATTTTTTTTGGTAGACTATAATCCATGTTTGAGTGACATGTTGTAGCCCAATGTTTGCCCAGTGTGTGGATTTTATCACATATAGTCTAGCTAGAACATGGGTTGGACTGTCAACTCTAATATATTTCTATACCACCTTAAAATTCTTATCCTTATTAGTTTTTTTCTTCTTCCTTATATACTAGATTGATATGAATTGAATATTCTAAATATATATTTAAAAAAATACAGGATTTTTAATTAATGACCAGTGTGTGTGTGTGTATGTGTTTGTTGGGATATTTCAGCCAAACATTTATTCACTTTGGATTTTATTTAAAAGAAAAAAAACAACAATAACAATTCTTCTTGTCCAGGTATTCAAAAAATTGGATTTTAATTACTTCAGTTTTATATTCATTCCTCAATATTTGGTTGCTTTAGGAAAGGATTTGAGTGTTTCTATACGCTTATAGCTTAGGAATCTTACACAGTCAAACTAAAATTCAGTATTAACTAATTTTACACTAAAAAAAACAAACTCATTTTATAGATTCCATAGTTTATACATAATATAATGGTCAGGTTCAAATTCAAACCTTAAGGACAAGTTTATTCATTAGTTCAATGGGGAGGAACAAAAGTAAAGAAGTAAGAATAAATTCCTGAAACACTGTGGCAATTACTGGCAATGGTAATAATTTTTTTAATTGAGTCATGAGAAGAATTATTTAGATCATTCGTTGATATCTATCTTATATAAAAACTTGAGAATTTTCAGTATAAAAGGGAGAATTGAAGCCGCTGTTACAGGTAAAACTTGTTTTTCACTTATAACAAAAGTACAGGTAAAAATCACTATAAAATTTGTTTTTCCTTAAATTTTATATATAGTTATCTTGAAAGGCTCTATATAACTTTTTATATTTTTCTACATGAAAAGCATTAAGATGTCCTTGTTTGTTGTATATATGGAAGTTATCGAGGAGATAAGATTGATAAGGGGTCGGTTTTTAATCTCGTCATTTATGTACAGGTAAACAGTCTAATATCTAAGATATCTCCGTTAAATTTTCCTTTTGAAATTCGATACCAAAGCTTGAGTCATACATGTATGAATTTAAATTTTATCAATTGATTTATTTTTGTTTAAAATTTAATATGAGTTCATACAAATCTCATCATTTATGAAAGTTTGAAAACATTATTTATTAGAAAGTTTGGAAAAATAATGACTTTGGTTAATAAATTAAGAATTTATTTTGGTTTGATTGTGTAGAAAGCTTATGGTTTATAGAAACACTCTTGAATCTGTTCCTTGAGTCAACCAGTACTGAGCACGAGTTTAAATTTCTTGCTCAAGGAAACATGGCCGTGCCCCTGATAGGGTTTGAACCACTGCTGCTAGTAGTTATTAAATTACTAGTTTGACATGTAAACAATTGGGCCATGCCGCCGCCACTAATAACTTTGAATGAAAAAAAAAGTATGAAGAGGATTACTGTACGTATATAACTTGTCAGTGGACAATATAGCACTAAAATAAGTAATAAGACAAAATGTGTTTTTCTCTTCATTTTGTTCTCAGTCACTATTCACTAGTTTCATGATTGTGTAACTTTCAGACACCCCCATACATTTGTGCAGTGCACAAGATAGTCGGGCGGTTGGGGATTTGTAATAGGGCAAATTTTAACCTTTGGTATGTCCCCTCACAGCAGTTTAATGCCTAAGTATTTAAAATAAACAAAAGTAATTTTGCTGTTGTATCAACAATTATGACTTAGCTTTTATTTCTTTAAAAAGCATTTAATCAAGGTTCAAAACCTGTTATATGCAAAAAATCAAATACTGGGACCCGATATCTAGTTTTGCATCGTATGTTGAAATTAAATAAACTTCTCTTTTATATAGAATTGCATTTTAATTTACTTCACATCAAGATGTAGACAGTGTATGAAAAGTGTTTGTTGAAATTACTTTAAATTATATTGCGTTTTAGTATTGCTGTGATAAAATTTTCTGTATTCAAGATGTTTTAATGATATCAGTCGAACAATTTTCTTTTTTCATGTGTGCAACCATTCGTTTTACACCAGTTTACAGCAAAAACGTTTAAGTAATAAAATTTATGTAAGTATGAAAGGGTTGTTGAAAATGATAAGGAACAATTAATTTGCACTTAAATCGGCAGTTTTGCATCAGTTTAGTTTTGTAAAGTTCTTATTCATGGGCTAAAGGTTTTGATTTTTGATGAAATATTTGTACAATAATGAGCCATTGGGTGTAGAGGGGGGAAGTGGAAAGGTGGTTAGAGGGGTGAGGACCTGAACAAATTCGATTGCTTATGGTTTCTAAAACATATAATAATGAGCCGCGTCACGAGAAAACCAACATAATGGGTTTGCGACCAGCATGGATCCAGACCAACCTGGGCATCCGCGCAGTCTGATCAAGATCCATGCTGTTCGCTTACAAACCCTATAGCAAGTAGAGAAACTGATAGCGAACAGCATGGATCCTGATCAGACTGCGCGGATGTGCAGGCTGGTCTGGATCCATGCTGGTCGCAAACGCACTGTTGGTTTTGTCATGATGCGGCTCATATGGTTTTTCAAGACTACAGGCTCTTGTTATTCATGACACTAAGCTATACTAGTATTTAGCAACAGATGTGATTACTGCTGGCCATTAACAAGGCCACCATTAAGACCACCAACACTTCTTAGTAGTGTCGTCACTCATAATGTAACTACAGTTAAAAATCCTTAACATTATCTATATAGGATATGAAATTCAAAGAAATTTAAAGTACTTACATGTAAGTAAAGAGTTAAATATGAAATTATGGTTTGTGAAAAACATTTTCACAGGCTAATATATTTTCACATGAAAACTTAAATTATTCTCAGAGACACCTGGTATTCTAATGTGGGTCTTAAAGTCAGTTTGACTCCGGCCAAAAATACTTAAGCCTTTAATACCCCTTACATGGAGGCAGCATTCTTCAGTATAATAAATATATGTTCTCAAGTCCCTAAAACAATATCAAATATTAGTAATCTGATTTTGACGGTATACAAGTTATTTGGCTTTGATTAATATTTAATCGGCTCAATATTGCGGTATAACTATCCAATTAATTTTTATATAAAGTTGCTTTTGTATTGTTATAAGGTGTTTAACCTTTGTAAATATTTTAAGAATTGATTTTTTAGATTGGATACATTTTCTTTGTGTATTTTAATATATTTAGACGGTTTAAGATTTGAACAAAGGATAGAAGTTATTGTTTTGAGGTCAAATCTTTCATTTTACATGGAATTTTGATTTAAGATGTAAGTTTAATTTTTTTTTATCTATGGAAATTTTTTAAATATATATATTAAGTGAATTTCATAATTATGTTAATAATGTATATCATATTGTCATCTGATTAATTGATAAACTAAAATATCATATTAAAGGAGCTGAGCTATGAAATTCTTACTGCAAATGAAGATATAATACTCAAAATTAAATTAAATATTGATTTTCTGTGCAGTTCTTAGCCCGATTTGAGTGAAAAGCCTTGCAATGCTTTTCATTTGTGGGTCATTTTGCACAATAAATATGAGCCGTGTCACAACAAAACCAATGTAATGCGTATGCGACCAGCATGGATCCAGACCAGACTGCACATCCGTGCAGTCTGATCAAGATCCATGCTGTTCGCTATCAGTTTCTCTACTTGTAATAGGGTTTCTAAGCGAACAGCATGGATCCTGATCAGAGTACTCGGATGCGCAGGCTTGTCTGGATCCATGCTGGTAGCAAACACTTTACATTGGTTTTGTCGTGACGCGGCTCATATGATTTTTACACAATAAATATGATTATTCTGGAAAAAACAGAGTTGAAGAATGATGGGAAAATTAATTTGCGTTCAGACTCATCAAATTGTAAAATTGAAAAAATATTTCCAGCATCTTCATGTAAAAAAACACAGTGGTGCTCCTTTAAGAGATATAAAGTGAATATTCAACCCTTATAATACTCAATATGTATGACAGAATTTCTTATATTGCATTTTAACTGTCTATTACAAGGGTTTGAATTCTTACTAAATTTGAAACCAAACTGGGATGAGCTTGGACTTCATTAAATTGCCTGAATGCTATGCATTTATATCATATCAGGAAAATTCTAAATCTAGTTTCTAAATTAGCTTTTGATTACATGATTTGATATGAGAAATTTATATATAATATATATTTAAGTGCCAAATATATATCCAATTTGATTATCTAAGTAGGACATTTGTCATGTTACTTACTGTAGTGCTATTTATAACAAGGCCGATTTTAAGATTTTTTTTTATGTTTAAAAAATCATCAGGTATGAAACATTTAGCAAAAAGTTGAAATGCGATCACACAAGTACAGAGATTTAAATTTCAAACTGGGTTGCTCTCTTACTCCTCCTTTTATAAACCATTACAAGGATGTGACAGGTTCACCATGTGTCAACGGTTGACTATTTTAAAGAAATTCATGCCCAAAGTGAAGCCTTTTTGACAGAAAGTGCTTAAATTGACATTTAATACTTGAAGAAGTGTATATCTGTTAAGACCTAATGTAAATAAAATTACCATTCCAATAGGGTGACCATTAGATAGACGATTGATCAGGGCAAGCAGATAACGCGTCCATCAAAGGACAAATTACGATATCTATATTCAATCTTATAGTCGGCACGATTTAAGTCGGATGATCGGACATAATATAAACTGGACTTAACTTTTACCTGATTTTTCTTTTATATCTGCTTGAGAAACGATCAAAAGAACACATTTGTAAGATAGTATGCTGTGACCGTATAAGTAAAATGACTAAGTTTACATATTTAGAGCATGTTTGGCAATGTTTTGTCATTTTGGTCTGATGTGAAAGAATTCATTGTGATATACGAAATCTGAAAAGGATTTAACTGGCTGTAGTGATCGTGTTGTTTTAAAGTGTTAACCTCAAAGTTTAAAGGGTGTTTATTTGGAAATAAGGAATTTTTGACATATTTAAGTGATAAGGATTATTGTACACTTTATCTGTCGGACGTTTCAGGTAAAGTGGTCAGATTTTTTTTTTCATCTCATATATTTATTGAAACACAATTATTAAATTATTTAAAATTTACTAAAAAAAATTTTTGAAAGATTTTCAAATCACTCTTTTTACAGTAAGAATGAAAAATGAATTTTGATAGTGTAATAATGTTAATTTGCAGCCATCATTTTTTTTTGTAAAAAGATTAAGTTTGTAGATTAAAAAGTAATATCTGATGGTAAGTGTTGGAATGAAATTGTTTTTAACTGTTTAAGTTACATTATTGTTGCATTTACTTTACATAATAGAAACTAATAAAAATGTATTACTTTTCAACTCCCTCCCGAAATTATGTTCAAATTGCAACATACAAGTAATCTCAATTTCATTTAAGAAATAATGTGCCATTAATAAAAAAAGCAATCCATTTTTTAGGTATGTCAATATTTTTAATGATTTTAGTTATTCAAGCTTTACTAGCCAAGTGAATATATACCTTTACAGGGTGGTCTGTCAGCCTTCATCTATAATGATCTTTTAATGTTGAAAAACTTATAAGCATTGCAGGTCAAATTGTAGGTCCAATGCAGTTAACTCAAAGCATATTGATTGTTAGTTGTGACTGTATGATAATAATAGTAATATAACAACAACAAAAACAACATTTATTAAGCGCTAAACACCTGAAAGGTGTATATAGCCAATATTTACAATCATATACTGATATGAACTTGAAATGAAGCTAAACAAAACATACAAAATAGTCAGAGAAGTAAACACAATTATCATCCATCCTTTAATTTCTTATATTGGTTGCAAAGTATATGAATTTGACAACTGTCAACTGTACTTTTTTGGTGCTCTGACATAAGCTTTTCAAATTTAAAGGAATATAATCTTTTAAAGTGTTAATGTCTTAGATGTCTGTATTTAGAGCCAACTCATAAAAAGTGATAGTAATCATAATAATAATAATAACCTGTTAATTTAACATAGGTAGCTTATGAAGACAATACATCAAAGCATCAAAGATAACACATATTATGCAAAATCTTATTTTCAACAAGGCCTTCAATAAACATAAAAAATAAACATATTACAAGCAATTATAAAGATTATAACATTCAGTACATCTTATCCAACAAAGAAGACAGACATAATATTATAATACTGTGCCAATGAAAGTTTTCAGGATTCCTAAAGGTTCCCAAAATCTCTTTTTTCTGTATAAAACTTTTACAACATTGCTGAATAAGCTGTTTTATATGTCCAACTTTCACCTGTCTATGACTGATACACATTTGTAGGTATTTAACTGTCTGAATACATGTACTTTAAATTCTGGCTGGACAGTTCAAATATTAAGTAATCTAGAAGGATAAAAGCAGGTGTTTGACTTGTGTAAATATTTTTAGAATTGATTTTCATTTGGATATACTTTTCTTTGTACAAATATTTTGAGAGAGAGAAAAAAAGTAGTTAAATTACATATAGTAGTGTAACATTTTTTCATATAAACCATTGTTTTATGTAAAATAGGTGGTGCTTGCTTATAATTTGTGTAACTTGATTTTGAATCTTGTCAAATATTTTGGTTTTAAGGTAAATAATCCATCAAAAACGAAATTGAAAGGTAACAGACCACCACAGAAATCCTATGCCAATAGACCAATTGCACATGTACACATGATTATTTTTGATACCGGTATATATTATATATTTTGTTTATTACAGGATGAGTAATGGCTAAGTTGTTTGTCAGGAAATGTCCGTGTCTGCGTCCAAAGATTGAAGAGGATGTTAAACTGTTGGATTATAGACATTGTAGTTTAAATGATGTACCCGGAGAAGTGTTCAATTTTGAACGAACTCTCGAGGAATTACTTGTTGATTCAAACCAGATCAAGGATTTACCTAGAGTAAGTATAGTAACAATTGACCAGTAAAATTATATGTGGCCCCTTGTGAGTGCTGAAACTAGACGTTAAATAGTCTTTGCCATTGGTATTTAGTAAGTCATGACTGCAGACATACAGGCTGCAGTCTGACGAAACTTTACTCTTTGTTGCATACAGTTAAATCAGTGATAAAGACCACCTCTTTGTAAAGATAACCCTTTGAATAAAGGCCACTTTTGATAACCCTTTAATGAAAAAATTAAATAAAGTAACCTCCAAATAAAGACCAATTGTCGATATAGATAACCTTTAGTGTCTCCCTAGAGTGGCCTTTTTTACAGATTTGACTGTAATTATCAAATTCAAATGCAACTCATTTCATTAACAAGTTTTAGATTTAAAGTAGCACAAATCTTTTACACAAACTCAGATGTTTAATAGTAATTAAGGGTTCAAGTTAGTGAAGCTGCTTTTTTGTACTAGAACAGTTAAGAGAAAATTGAAAGAAAGAGAAGGTAATTGAGCAAGCTGTCACCAGATTTGTCCTGTTTGATGATCTGTTTAATAGGGGAGGTAGAGTAAAACAGTTCAATATTATGTTCAATGCCTGATCAGGTCTTTACATCACATACAGTTACCGTATTACAACTTGTATATATTAATAATTGTCAGGAAAAACAAATCTAAATGTATCAAAAGACAATGATATGTGCTGATTTCAGATATTATCATGATAGCGAATGTTATATTATGTTGCTATGGCATCAACTAAGTGTCTTTATTTATGAACTTCTAAAACTTCACATTTAAAGTCATGCGTATATTTTGTTGTTATGTATATATATATTTATTTCACAAAGCTAGTAGACCAGACTGGTCCATGAGGCAACATATTTACAATATAGACCTGTACATGGATCAAATAGGACATAAAAGGCAAATTTTTTTATGAAATTAATTACGTTTTTAAGGAAACAGTCTTTTCAAATGTCTGAATGACATAATACATTCACAAGAAAAACCTGAATGGCAACAAAGTTAAAAAGAAACCTTACTTTAGTAAATGTTTAACACCTAGATATTGCATGTTCAAAACTGCAATCTTGAGCAACTTGGGATGTTTTGAAATCTATTTGATGTGTTATATTATTGATTAAAACATTGAACGTTCTGTAAGCAGCGGCCCAAAACAGTTCGATGGATCATTTACAGCTGCCATTAGTTGATTAATGTAATATTTCCATGCTTCAATTAAGATTACCTGTAGCCCAGTCTATAATAGAACTGTTCCAGGCTGTTTGTTCAGGTTTTGCTGCCATTATTGAAATTGTCAACAGACTGGTATAGATTTCTTTCTTCGAGCTGCTTGTCTTTGTTTAATATTAATTGTCTTTGAATATTTAAAATTAAAAGAAGTCAACCAGTCTGTTTTTGACGTCATGAAAATAAAAGATGTTTACAGGATCATTTCTGTACAAAAAAGTGTAGATTTAGAACCAGTCCATAGAAAAATGGATGATAAATTTTTAAGATGTTGTCAGATAGGTCAATGAATGTTAATGAATAATTGATTCTGGTTTTCACACTAAGTTATGATGATGTATTTAGATATATAAGGTGCTATTTAAACCTTATGAATGGATATAATGTTTAATTAATCAGATTATGTCACTGTAAGCAATAATCAAATGTGACACAAGGTGTGGGTAACAGAATATTGACTAATAATTACAGTCTTATACCATTGGGATTATACCACCAATGCTGTCATTTTAATATTAATTAACCTAAAGCCCGCTGGCGTCAACTGAATCTTAACCATGCCACCACGGCAGACCTTAATCAGTCGGCATGTCCAGGCCCGTCTTTATCATGGTCTGCTGTGTAACTTTTGAAAATTTCCCTGAAAATGATAAACAGTTTTGTCCATTTTAAAATATAGTTACATTTATAGTGTAAACAATGTTAATGATGGAGACACCCGAAGGCTTGATATTTATTCGTAATTGTTAAACACTATTTGAGAGCAAGTGTAAATGGTATGAATTATAATCATCCATAGTGCCGTTAGTTTAGAATCTGACGTGTTTGCACCTTCTTGAATTATGACCAATCAGCTTGCTGTTCACAACTCAATTTTATGAATTTTATTGTAAAACATCCTGTAAATACAGGGATTTTTTTTTTGAAAGATTTTAAAATATTCGAAACATGCTCTTAACTAAAAAAAACACCAGGTACTGTGATATTATAAATATTATTTTAATGTGAGCAAAAAAGAACAAAAATGATTGCACTTTTTTCAGCACTTTTAATGTTTTTTCAAAACAAATTTTATCGGTCATATGAGACTTCTAAAATTGTGAGGGTTTCACAAAGCTTTGTTATTGCGAAGGTGCCATATTTCATAATGCATGTAATTCAATAGTTATGAAATATTTTATTCAGAGGGTATAATAGCAGAGGGATGTTGGGTAAGGCATGGCCGATGTGAAGCGTATCGCTGTTTTGTAAGCTCTGCAAATAATTCTTTTATGTCAGTTTGAAAACATTCAAAATTTGCATCTTTTATCCCCTATTATAACGTCTATTGAATCTTTTTTCCACATCCTGTCGTAAAGATTGACAAAAAGTTTTTATGTTCTTTACACATCCATTGATAAACTGTGAAAGAGTTTACAAGGTTTTTTGTAGAACATGCCGCTATGAATAAACTAATATTTACGGATTATGCAAAGCGGCGGTTTGATTTCTACATTGAGAACAGATCACCTTTCTCAGACCTGGAAGCATCAAAATGGTTTAATTTTGATAATAAACATTCACAAACTGTAACTTTCAACAATATCTGTCATTGAGGTTTATCTTGCTCTAATTGCATAATCTTTTATCATAAAAATATCTTTAGCTGCTTAATGTAAATATATCTTGAGCTGCAATTGGTTCACTCTTTTCCTATAAGCATCATCTTTAGCTTTAATAAAAAATGGTTCACTCTTTACTGTAAGGATATCTTGAGCTTCAATTTGTTTACTTACTGTAAAAATATGAGCTTCAATCTGTTCACTCTTTTACTATAAAGATATCTTGAGCTTAAATCAGTTCACTCTATTGCTATAAAGATATATTGAGCTTAAATCAGTTCACTCTATTGCTATAAAGATATATTGAGCTTCAATCAGTTCACTCTTTTGCTATAAAGATATATTGAGCTTCAGTTGGTTCACTCTTTTACTATAAGGAGTTAATAATGAGCCTTGATTCATTCATTTTTACTACAGAGATATTCTGAGCTGGAAATGGTTCACTCTTTTCTATAAAGATGTCTTAAGTTTTCACTGGTTCTGACACTCTTCTATAAAGATGTCTTGAGTTTTCACTGGTTCTGACACTCTTCTATAAAGATGTCTTGAGTTTTCATTGGTTCTGACACTCTTCTATAAAGATGTCTTAAGTTTTCACTGGTTCTGACACTCTTCTATAAAGATGTCTTGAGTTTTCATTGGTTCTGACACTCTTCTATAAAGATGTCTTAAGTTTTCACTGGTTCTGACACTCTTCTATAAAGATGTCTTGAGTTTTCACTTGTTCTGACACTCTTCTATAAAGATGTCTTGAGTTTTCACTGGTTCTGACACTTCTATAAAGATGTCTTAAGTTTTCACTGGTTCTGACACTCTTCTATAAAGATGTCTTAAGTTTTCACTGGTTCTGACACTCTTCACTGGTTCATTCTTTAATTATAAAGATATTTTTAGCTTCAAATGGTTCACTCAAAGTGCTCATTCACCATCTTCACAGTGATATTAGAAAAAGATATCAAGATATTTGGCTTTTAAATTTAGTAAATTTTTCACTCATTTCACATTTAAGAATACTTTAGTCATTTACTGACAAATCATTCACATTGTTTTTGTTGCTGCTGAACGTAATTTATGCTAAATGTCTGAAGTTTTAGGTTTTAAAATTGAATTTGTCAACTTTAACTAAAAACTCTTCAAACATTTGAGGAATGAAATGCATGTCTGTAGGCGGCGTCCCACAACAGTGCGAGTCAGCCATTGTGTATACCGTTGAGCGATTTTCATCAAGGACGCCATTGATTTTAAACGAGTCAGAACACCGCTCCTAGATTAGAATCACAAATATTGTAAACCAATTAATCACTATGTATTGCCGTTCGGAAGTAGCTTTTTATATTTACAGATAATGGGATTAGAGTTGTTCAACTTACTGTAACACTGTCGTACCTGTATAAAGCGGAAATAGGTCGGTAGGGTAGTAAAAGGGTCATCAGATACGCTAATACATTGACATCGGGACATGTAACATCAGCCTGCTCGTTTAAGGCTGTATTGGAGAGCTAGTTTATAAGTTGACTGATGTTTTCTTTGTTTGAATATTGAACACTTGAGTTACCTCGATAGCAGATTCTTCACCTGTGCAGTAGCCCATAATGTAAAATGAAAATAATAAATACTTCCATTACATAAAAGTGCATATAGTTAATGAATATTTTGTTTGAAATGACTGAATTAAAATGGTTACTACAATTAAAGATTGAGTTTAATATGATATTTCAATCTACATAAAAAAAAATCGAGGTAGTAAAGAAGTACTTTTAGTTACAAAAACTACACTTGCTTAACGTTAATTTGATAATATTCACAAAGGAAAATAGACATTCCAGATTTATTTTGTTCTTCTCACTGTCATGGTGTGCTGCTCTGTAGCGTAAATGGATTGTGGCGGGAATGTTTACTTTGCTTTTACCCTCAATACATCTCGGTCTTTTCTTATACAAGTCGACAGTGTCAGATCAGTTGTCAACTATGAAATTCTCTTATGGTATTAAATCTTTGTTTGATAACAGTTTTCATATTTGATCAGTTTGTTTAACTTTAGATAATGACTTTTTACGGCAACCTATATAATATATATTAAAATCGATACAGACATGTTGTAAACATAATTTACATCGGATGATATGAAACTTGTCGAAAATGCGTTGCCTATTATAGACCTGATAACATCATATTGCATGAACAATTTTTGAGATTTTGGTTTTCTTATCTGCATAAATTTAAAGCATAGACAACTTATTTTATTTGGCAGGAAATTGTAATAAAGGGAAAAAAGTTTGTAATTGTATTAAGCATATAAAGGCAATAATTGTCACAGCATTGATTTTGGTATCTTTACTATTTAGTAATGATTCATGATTGATGCATATTATGTAATATATTGAATAAACTCCTGTTTACAGAAGGTTATGTTTTATCCAGGTATTGTATGGTGTTTAAAATGTTGTGCATTTAGAGAAATACCTAGAATTAATGATATATTTGATATATATTTTTCTATGGTTATCCCTGAATACTTCCACTTGTTATAGCAGTTATTTTCGCAGATGGTTATTAAAATAAATAATAGAAAGAGGCTATCCAATTTGTATGAGGGGGCATTAAAGACCCCTCCCCCCCCCCTCCCCAGTATAAATCACATTGCCCTGTGTTTTGATGTTCTTTCTCTTTTATATCAAAGGCAAAAATAAAAAACATGTTCCCTGATGTCACAATATGAAACCCCAGAGAAAAAAGTAACCTGCACTCCAGTTAACACACTGTGCATGTATATGTATACAATTTAATTATGACAAATTTTCAACAACTGGAAGCTGGCAATCCATTTAAGAAATTCAACAAGTTACAGGTTCATAGTTTTTGGACTCTTATAAGCCCAAACCTAAGTCAGTTTATTTGTAAATATGACAAAAATTTTAATAAATAGAACAATTTTTGAAATCTCATTATAATTAATTTTTAATATAGATATTTTCAAGCCTTAATTCATGTTAAAATTCTTCTAATTATTTGAAAAGGTAACTTTACTTTCTTCAAATAAATTAAGCTGCTCATTATATATATATAGACCTGAAATTTTTACACTTTTAGGGAGAGATTTGCTGTTAATTGTTAAACATACATATATATAATTGATACATAAAATAAATATTTAATTGTTTACAGTATTAGAATTTTTAAACATACTGAATTGTTATCAGAATAAAACCTGTCACTATGTGGTCTCAAAGTATGTCAGGTCAATTTATATATTAAGAAATAGCGGGCATGAATGTCAGTTTTAGTTACACAATTTCTTATCAAATATTGAATCAGTATTTAATGGATTTCACTGGATATGTAATGTATAAAACATAGACCACAATTGTATTCTACCCAATATCTTTAATATTATCTTTGTCTATCAAGAATAAATGGTATGAATCAAGTTGAGCCAACAAAACGTGTTTTTCTATTGTTGATCAAAGTCAATTTATACCCCCATGTGGATTCGTGGATTGGCTTTCCTTATTATGTGTTTGACAATTTTCGATTAGAAAAAAAGATTTCTTTGTTCATTTTAATGATATATCGTGAAGTTTCAATGTTAAAGTCAGATTAAAAGCTGCAACATTAAACGTTGCAGGTCATGGACGCGGTGACCTTTTAAACGTTAATGTCGAAAAAAGCACAGGCATTACTATATAGCCCTTTGTGATTTTTCACTCCTGAAAAAAGTAGAAAAAGATGGTCATTGTTGATAAAGCCAGCTTTGATGGTCATATACAAATATATATATTTATATATGCGAATTTAGGTTAATTTAACATGAATGTTTGAATAAGTAACGCTGCAATTGTAAAAACTTCCTTTTACATTATACCTATTCAAACATGAATTTCTGGGTTTATATAAATTTTGAGGTTTTATATTACTTAAGGTCGTGCTGCTTCAATACCCCATTGAGTTTATATAGAGCAATACTTCTTGTCATTGAATTTTTATACCTGCTTTCACTGTTGTCAGGACAACGGTTTTACACCTTATTAAATTTTACTGAAGAAAAAAACAACACAATTTAAAATAATATCAAAACATGACATATTGCATTAACAGTGCATATTCTACCATAATTTTATAGTGACAATATTTGGGTTACAAATATATGCTGTTAGAGTGGCCAACATGATGACATTACTGATTAAAATATTATATGCCAACTGGAAAAGTGAAGTCATACAAACAAGCATTACTTTATGAATTTGAAGGTTCTTATGTCAAATATGTTAATGAAATTTGCCAAAGATCATTAACAATGAGAAAACTTGAAAAAGATTAAGAAACTGACGTATTATAAATAGTTCTCAACTGGACTTTGATTTGAAGAAGGCTAAACAGTGATATGATGCACTTTCCGGAAAATAAAATTACTAAAAAACTTACCTGGAAACAACACAGAAATATTTTTTTAACAGAAAATAAAAGCTGAAGGCCACTATAAAATGAGCCGTGTCATGACAAAACCAACATAGTGCGTTTGCGACCAGCATGGATCCAGACCAGCCTGGGCATTCGCGCAGTCTGATTAGGATCCATGCTGTTCGCTTACCAACTCTATTACAAGTGGAGAAACGAACAGCATGGATCCTGATCAGACTGCGCGGATGCGCAGGCTGGTCTGGATCCATGCTGGTCGCAAATGCATTATGTTGGTTTTGTCATGGCGCGACTCAAATGATTTAAAATGACTTGTATACATGTAATATAAATCAGATATTATGTAGGATATTATGGATAGAAAAAAAAGTCCAAGAGATAAATTGTAAATATATATATAAAGGATGAGGTTGGTATGACATGATTTGATCTTGCTGATATAATACATACATGACATGATATGATCTGACTTATTTAAAACATACATGACCTGATCTGATCTGATTTAAAACATACATGACATGATATGATCTGATATAATACATACATGTTATGATATGATCTGACTTATTTAAAACATACATGACCTGATCTGATCTGATTTAAAACATACATGACATGATATGATCTGATATAATACATACATGACATGATATGATCTGACTTATTTAAAACATACATGACATGATATGATCTGATTTAAAACATACATGACATGATATGATCTGATATAATACATACATGATATGATATGATCTGACTTATTTAAAACATACATGACCTGATCTGATCTGATTTAAAACATACATGACATGATATGATCTGATATAATACATACATGATATGATATGATCTGATATAATACATACATGATATGATATGATCTGATATAATACATACATGACCTGATCTGATCTGATTTAAAACATACATGATATGATTTGATCTGATAATTTAATACATACATGATACATAACATGATTTTATTTCATATAATATATGACATGACATGATTTGATCTGACATAATATATACATAACATGATTTGATCGGATATAACATATACATAATATTATTTAATTTGATATTATTCATATATGATATGATTTGATCTGATATAATACATACATAATATAACTTGACATGATTTGATCCATATGTGACATTTTGTATAATTTTACAGGAGCTGTTTTACTGTCATGGTCTACGCAAGTTGAGCCTCAGTGACAATGAGATCAAGCAGATCCCAGCGGCCATCGGTCATCTTATCAGTCTTGAAAGCCTTGACCTCAGTAAAAATGGTAGGTTAAATTCTCATTCTCGTAATTGTATTTTGACAAATTAGTACTTGTTGTTTCTAAATTAGCGAAGTAAAGTCTTGTTAAGTGAGCAAGTTCACTTAGTGGTAAATTTGCTTATCCAGAATTCCTTGCCTCTCCTTGCTTTTGGTTTGATTTCAGCAAGGGGACATTGATTTTATTTTATGATGAAGCTATTCATCTGGCATACAGAAGGTTGATGGTTCTTAGTAACCTTGGTCTTTACTTATGTGTAAAATGATGGAGAAATACCATAATTTCTTCCTAAAAACAGTAATGCCAGAAATTTCCAAAAGTGTTTAAAACCTTCCTTACCATGCTAACATAAATGGATTAATCCATCTTTCAGTTTTGATGAAACAACTTTCATTTTTTTGGAAAAAATTTAAAATATGTACCGACTGAATAGCAAACAGTGCACTCTGGCCATGATCAGTCAGCAACTGGCTGATTTTTATGGGCACTTAGCAGCATGGGTAGAATCTGTAGCCACCAAGAAGCTAAGGGTTTTGCAAATGTGACAGAACTCTAAATAAAGTAGAATGTTACGTGATATTTATAACATTTATCAGGAATAAAATATTGTCATTTCTTTGTATGATAGTTACAAGGTGGTGTAATTGTTTTCTGTCCATCTTCCATTTTATAAAATTCATATCTTTAAAAGTCTAGGACAGTAACTAAAAGTGTTCATATATTATTGTAAGAAATATAAACTACTAACTGGAAATTAAACAATTTGAAATAGACTCAATTTTCTTTATATTGATGGAATGATATTGAAATGATGTTGACATCCATGCTGTATGTTTGCAGGTGTGATAGATATCCCAGAAAACATAAAGACATGTAAATACCTACAGATAGTTGATGCTAGTGTTAACCCTCTTGGAAAGTAAGTATAAATCATTGCAATTTTAGTACTGGCATTTAAGTGCTGGTGTGATCAGTATGAAGTCAGGGCCTCCCTACATATCTGTGCTGCTAAATCAGACTTCATACTTTCAGATGCTCAGTTTTGATGATAGAAAAAATCCTTTAAATTTCTATGGCCAGTAAAGACAAATTTGACTTACAACAAAAATGTTTTGTGAACTAAATATATGATTTTTGACTGAGTTATGGCCCTTGAATAAAAAACTGTGTTTTGGCCTGGTCTCTTGCTACACAGTATCTGCAACATGCAATTGTCCGTCATCAGGCGACACGTGATCAGTAATCGCTCATGTTTTTCAAAAGAAAATCCTGGTGTTAACAAATGACTCTGTCAAATTTAAGGCAGAAACTCTGAATTAGAAACAAAAAGCAAGAAATTGATGAACAGTTGCATTACTAGGGCTGGATCAATATACCGGTAAATCGGTATTTATCGATTTTCCGTTTTTCAATACGGTACGGTTATCGGGTTTTAGCTATACCGATACAAAGGGAGACAACCTAATAACACTTATAAACATGATGGCTTTACATTAAAACTATCGTCTTTAAAATGTCCGCACAAAAGTCAAAAGTGTGGAATTTTCTCTAAAGTAAATGTTAAGAAGGCCCTCATAAATATTTGAAAAGGCTGCATTGATTAGTTCAGGTGGAACAACGAATATTGTCAAAACACAAAATGATGGATAAATCCGTGTCAAAATTTATCCGGCCATTCAATCTCCTATTTCTAACACTGGTAAAAACTACTTTCAGGTCGGCAGTAGTTTGTATTAGACCAAACATTTACTTGTAATTTTTTTAAACACATATTGTGAACACATAAATCCAACAAATTTATTGATTTTCCAAGATGTAGTTTGCTAACTAAATAAATGTGACTGCGCGAAGATGTAGCTAAACACCGTTTCCCGCGTACGTTACGGATTACGACACACAACATCATGACATGATATTTATATTTTTATTGTAATTTTACCGTTTAAGATAGAAAAAACATGATTTTTGTTAGAAAATTTTCAATGTTCGGTTCCAATACTTTCTCAGCGTATATATTTCAAATTCTACAAAAATTTGATTTTATTATAAAGATCTTATAATTTAGAACAGTTGACTTGTAGACAGTACTAGACTCCTGTCATAATAAAATAGTGATGTTTTAATTATTTTCTGCGTTAACTTTTCCTAGTATTTACATAATTATATTTTTGCATTGAATTATTTTCTACAAAGCTTTTTAATTTTTTTTTTTCAAAATAATTGTTTTATCTAAAAAAGGGACCATCATGTCATTTTCAACATATTACCTCAAATGTACTAATTAAGGTACCTATGCACCTGCTCTGTATTATATATCATCATTAACAAAGTCAAAATCTAAAACAGATATAAGAAAGATTCAATAATATTTCACCAGGGCATCTATAAAATGTAAATAGTACTTTTAATAAGTACATCCTAACAATGAAGCATCATTGTACTGTATCGTCAATACGTATTGTGTATCGTTGGTCTGTATCGCAATGCGTATCGTATCGGAAATTTCTGATCAATACCCAGCCCTATGCATTACTATTTTAACATTTTGATATTGTCACATTACTGTTCTGTTTAATAATTTCATTACAAATTTGGATAAGAAGTTTGTCGCGGAAGTTCAATTTTCAGTTGTCTGTTGTAATAATAGGTCAAATTATAAAATTGTTTAGTTATTTTAAGGCCTTAGAACTGTATATACAAATTAGAATAAGTTTTTTGAAGTGTGATGTATGAGAATATAGTATAATAAGATTAAAAGATACACATAACACTTAAATTGGATTGATAATCAAATGAGGCTAAAATTTATTCAAATAGCAAAGCTGAAGGACTGATCTCAAAGGTGTTTTTAGGAGTATTTTCCCATGAAAACACCTTATTAAACATGACCAATCTGTTGAATACTTAATCACCTATGTGAAAAAAAATCCAATAAGCTTATATTTATATTGGAGCAAGTTCACAGATAAACATTACCAATTTCAAGCTTCAAACAAACATTTGTGGCCAATTTATGTAAACTTTTTCCTGAATTTTACGCAACTTTAGTGTCAATTGACCTGATTTATATTCTTTTGTGTAAGAAAAAAAGAAAGAGAGCTTTCGGTCTTTTGAGTTACACTTTCCTGTGAATTCCAGGACGTCATGTAATAGATAAGGTCTATAATACTTGAGTCCTTGAGTTTGTGTTTTTCCATGAAACTTTGTTTAACGACTAATTATTTACTAATTTTTTTATGTATTATGCCATTTGCTGCAAACAACTTACATGTATGTACAGAAATTGACTTTTGCTTGTTTAGAGGAGGTCTGTATTTGATCAGAATCTGTAAATTTGAGCCGCTCCATGACAAAACCAACTTAATGCGTTTGCCACAAGCATGGATCCAGACCAGCCTGCGCATCCACGCAGTCTGTTTATGTCATGTTTAATAAGTCGCGGTAATGACAACAGTCATTCTGCATATAACATGAATGTTGTTAAATTATTGATGCTAAACTTTTCTGACCATCCATATTTAAATAATGTCCCTCTGTATATGTAAAATCTATTAACAGGTACCAAGATGAATTTTAATAAAAAAAAATGCATGTAGTGGTCAAACCTGATATATATGGATAAATAATGGCAACATTGATAAAAAAATGCATTTCATTGTTAAATATGTGATATATTTGCTGAATAAATAAGAAATAAGTAATAGAACATTGAAAAATTCATTTTTATGTTAAAATCTGATATATATACTTCACAAATTGGAAACAAATAATGGGAATATTGTTAAAAATTCAGTTGAATCATTATTTGGAGGAAAAAATGGGTTAAGCTTTGAGTGAAGTGTTTCACTAATTACTAAAATAGCAATTCCATTTTTCAATTATTTGTGCCATTATACACTAAGTATACTTTAAAGTACAATGAACCACTCTTCATATTCTATTACTACTAATTTGTTCACTTCCATACATAAAGGTACCACAGAAAAATATCTATAGGTAGCATTATCAAAGAACCGGATTAAGTGTTATTTTATCAATCATATTTCATAAGAGAAATCCTTCAATATCTCAATTATCGTGGTTCCAAAATACCCATAAAATATGTTTAATTTGTGCTGATTTATGAATTTTAATAAGCAATTATTGGGGGTTTTAAGGTAGAACCACCTATTAATGTATTCATTGACAATGGTTTAAATTGTTTACTTTGAACTAATAAATAAATATTAACACAATCGGGGTATTCACAATAAATTGAGCATACTTTCAATAGCCTATATTCATATTTATCGTTATGTATATTGATAATTATGTGGTCAGAAAAGGTTCACTTGTTAAAAAATAATTACAAAATTCCATAAAAAAATGTTCAAAACGAACGACAGAACGAAAAGTTTCCTTTTTTTCTTTGCCTTTGGAATTTGACAACTAAGCATGTATTTTGCCTTTGCAAAAGAGCCAATCAAAATTATATGGTATGAAAATCAAATAGTTTAATGTTTGCTAGCTTGAGTAGGGTACTTTCTAATTTCATAGCCACTTTGAGGCACATAACCACCTATTCTCATAAAAAAAAATTTGGACGAGGACTCAGCTTTTAGGTCACAGCACTGTTCCTTATTTATTGAAAAATGAAGCAAAACTTGTTGTTTGCTTTGGTTATTTTCTGACAGCATTTACAACGGTATAACAAATAACCTGAACTATAAATATTTTTAAACATGTATGCTCAGACAAGAGAACATAACTGTCCTAGAGTTTAACATGATTATGCCCATTGTTTGACTTGCTAGTTTTCAATGTCATGTTTAAAGCCACTTTCAAGTCTGGAAAAGTGTGAATAAAAAAAAATCCAAGTGTTAATTTCTTATAGGCAACACAGATTTGTTTCTTTTAATACATACTATAATACCAAATAATCATTTTACTATCTTGTAAAAAGATGTAAAAGAAATAGAGGTGAAAGAATTTGGGATGATCATTTGGAGTGGCTCAGCAAATGTGACAGCTCATTCCTGAAATAATGTATATAGAAACATCTTAGATTTTTCTTCATTAAGTTCTTATATAATTGAGCTGCGTCATGACAAAACCAACATAATGGGTTTGCGACCAGCATGGATCCAGACCAGCCTGCTCATTCGCGCAGTCTGATCAGGATCCATGCTGTTCGCTTACAAACCCTATAACAAGTAGAGAAACTGATAGCGAACAGCATGGATCCTGATCAGACTGGGCGGATGCCCAGGCTGGTATGGATCCATGCTGGTCGCAAAACCATTATGATGGTTTTGTCATGACACGGCTCATATATCATATGCATGACCCCTGTATTCTGATGGTGACTGAAGATTTTACCAGAAATTGAAATTAAAATGGGAAATGGTGAAGAAATATAAACTAGTATTATCCACATGCCATTAAATGACACATTAAATACTCATTACCTATTACAGGTGTATTCTCTTTAATATAGTATAGTATGTAACATAAAATCTACATAAATGTTGTTACAGGATGGAAAGTCTTTTCTGAAGTTTTGACAGTTATATACCTGCACCTGTTGTAAAATTAAAGAATTTCATGACAGTTTCGATAATGTCAGGATAAAATTTCTACCTATCATTTTTATGTACATTCAAACATATAGACTTAATATCTTATAAACATGCAAAAATTCTTGAGATAGGTCAACAATCTGATATTAGAGAATTTGATATATACACCTTTCTCGCTTTTTGTAGGTATATTTTGTAATGATTTTTCAGATATTTACGTTTATTAGGTGCGTTTCAGATTTTTATCAAAATTGGGCCACTTTGTACCAATTTGCGTCCCATTTCACCCCAGAATTAAAGACATAATTTGTTAAACAATCACAATACATGATTTAACACTGTAATTTCTCCCTATTAAAATGTAGCAATTTGTAACAATTTGTACAAACCGTCACAGTTTTGCTTTTATGAAAGTTTAAGTGGCTTTGTTAGGTACATAAAAGAATCAAGCTGAGAAAATAGCAGTGTTAAAAACAGCTATACTTTAGCTAATTTATCTTAACCCTTGTGAGTGAAAGTTTTACTTTTTTCAACAATGCCTCGTTTTTTATGGCCACCCGTAATCGCATTGCGATTTTGATGGCAGATTTAGATGTATGTCTGTCAATGAAATATCTAAATGACAATTTGTAGACCTTCATATATAACCGTAATTGATGTATTAAATTTTTGACATTTGAATCAGATATTGTATAAATTTATTTGTCTGAAATTGAAGCTTTTATCTGATTGGGAATGTTGTAAAATTCAACATTTCCACACCGGAGTATTGTGGACCATAGGTTTTATTATCAAAACTGACATGACTTGTCTATTACAGTAGCTTATACAAACTTTTACAAGTGGGATTGAGGCATTAAAAAAAGAGCAAAACTTTAATGAAAATATTTTGAGTATTTAATTATGAAACTTGATTCCCATATTACATGGTTTTCAGTTCAATATTTAAGTTAAAAAAAAAAGTGTTTTTTTTGTACAATACGCTGTCAAACATGTTTTTTGTGTATCAAGATTGCCTTTTCATGGACTTGAATAATATTTCTCTAGGAAATGAAAGGCATAGGGTGTGTGTCCTTAAATTTTGATTAAGTTAAATTTTTTGTCTCAGTTTTGCATTTTAAAATGATTTTACCATCTATTTATAAAGTCTGTGTCAAATACATGAAATTTAGAAAAGAAAAGTTCTTGGAGAAATTGACACTGATTTACTGAAATTGTCCATGAGCAAACTGCTGAATTGTTTCTATTGTTTATTTATTTTTAGGTGGTATTTAATATGTATAAAGGGAATATATTTTTCTCTTTCTAATTTTAGGTTGCCAGATGGATTTACACAACTGCTCAATCTTACACAACTGTATCTCAATGATACATTCCTGGATTACCTCCCTGGAAACTTTGGCAGGTATGGTACCCTATTTTATGATTCTGTATAAGGCCACTGGTTCCCAGATTCAGCTAGGGCCTCGGCTATGGATTTTGGAAGGACATATTTAGGCTTGTCAAAATATTTAAATGATGTCTACAGTTCGCCCTTTCTTCCAATATCCTATCACACCTACTTTCTGTTTCTTCCAGTACCTTCATTTATTGACTGAATTTTATAAAAGTTTGGTACATGTATGTTGATTCTATCCTTTGGTGGAATGTAAAGGATGGTTTAAGGTCAAGGCTAAAGAGAAGTTTTGTATTTTACATCAAAGTAAGACCATGCCTTCAGTTTTGTTATAGCAGCATCAAGAAGCTTCTGTATGTGTGAGGGTATCATTGTTGTGTTATTTCTTAGTTACTTATACTTGCCACCAGTTGCTCATATGGGCAAGTCCTTTAGCATGCCAAGTATTCTAAGCATTCATACACAGCACCTTGATTCAAAGTCCCATCCAAAAGAGTGTTTTAGTAATTTTTATTGGCCAGCTCGCAATGCCGAGATTACAAGTCATTGATCTATGCATACTGGCATCATCACATTCACCCTCAGCCTGCAGAATTTGTATTTTAGACTTGTCCAACTTCCATTATAGATCTGTCCAATCTCATTTTAGGGGACAACTAAATGCAAGTTTAAAGTAAGTTGGCAGACTGTTTAGGGTCTGGTCTACATCTGTAGGATCTGGCCGAAATCTTTAATGGTGGCGGAGGCAAATGACTGTCCATTGCAGCTGGGTAAAATGTTGATAAGCAACATAAGCTTGGCACTGGGTACAAAAAAAGTATCATACAAAATGTCTTAAAACTTTAATCATTTTGTGTGCATTTTTTTTAAGCACATGTAGTATGCCTTAATCTATGAAATTCCCAAACATACCAAACCTTGTTTTTTATTTTTCGAGTTTTTTCTTATGACAAGGTTAAATATAGTGAAGGGTATATGAATTGTCAGACATGAATATGGTAATTAGCATTAATTTTCTCAGTCCTTCCCATCTCTGCCACGGATAGCAGTATTTTAATAGCCTTGTACTGCTTGAAGTACTTGTGTAATTACTGTAGAGTGTATTGAATATTAAAACTATTCATATATCTTTTTATCCCCCGCCGATGGAATCGGGAGGGGGATATAGTTTTGGCGTTGTCCGTCCGTCCTTCCGTCCGTCCGTCCGTCCGTCCATCCGTCCGTCCGAATTTCGTTTCCGGAGTAGTTCTCTGCAACTAATGGCTGGAATTCAACGAAACTTTATGGGAATGTTGATCAGCATGTGAAGTTGTGCACCTGAGTATTTTCGTCAGGATATTTTTAGTATTTTTAGAGTTATTGCCCTTGACTCAGTAAAATTTTGTCCGAATTTCGTTTCCGGAGTAGTTCTCTGCAACTAATGGCTGGAATTCAACGAAACTTTATGGGAATGTTGATTAGCATGTGGAGTTGTGCACCTGGGTATTTTCGTCTGGATATTTTTAGTATTTTTAGAGTTATTGCCCTTGACTTAGTAAAATTTTGTAATTTTCAACTTGTGTCGCATGTAACTCAAAAAGTATTTGACCTAGAGTCATGAAACTTTACAGGAATGTTGATCAGTATGTGTAGTTGTGCACCTGGGTATTTTCGTCTGGATATTTTTAGTATTTTTAGAGTTATTGCCCTGGACTTAGTAAAATTTTGTAATTTTCAACTTGTGTCGCATGTAACTCAAAAAGTATTTGACCTAGAGTCATGAAACTTTACAGGAATGTTGATCAGTATGTGTAGTTGTGCACCTGGGTATTTTCGTCTGGATATTTTTAGTATTTTTAGAGTTATTGCCCTTGACTCAGTAAAATTTTGTCCGAATTTCGTTTCCGGAGTAGTTCTCTGCAACTAATGGCTGGAATTCAACGAAACTTTATGGGAATGTTGATCAGCATGTGCAGTTGTGCACCTGGGTATTTTCGTCTGGATATTTTTAGTATTTTTAGAGTTATTGCCCTTGACTTAGTAAAATTTTGTAATTTTCAATCACAATCATCAGTCACACGGTGCCAGAAAAGGAGTTTCAAAAATGCAAAATTAAAAAATCTTGTCTGACAGTACAAGGACTAGAGCTTTGATATTTGGTATATGATATAACATATAGGTCCTCTGCCAAAATTGTTCAAATTTTAGCCCTGGGGTCAAAATTGGCCCCACTCCAGGGGGTCATAGATTTTCCTTATATGTATATAGTGAAAACTTAAAAACTCTTCTTGTTTGAAGGTACAAGGCTTCAAGTTCAAAGAATTTTACAGTTTATGCCATGATTAATATATAAATAAAGCCTTATGTCTTCAGTTGTTGTGTTAATAATAACCAGTACTCGGCGGGGGATATAAATTCAACGAATTTGCTTGTTTGTTATGTAATTCCTCAATATAGAAACTTAATACTGACATAATTTTGTATTCAATGGGAAGGGCAGGGATCAGTTATTAATATTTGCATAATTTAATAATTTTGGTTATGAAATAAAAAATAAATATGGTTAAATATTTTTGGTAAATAGGTTGATTGATTTTATATAAATCATAGATAATATAATTAGGATTATGTTTCAAAGTCAGGGTTGTTTATATGAATTTCATTTATACCTGTCAAAAAGGACAATTTACATGTTTGCAATTGAATCAGTTGTTATAAATAGAAATATAAGAGATACAAGACAGGGTCATTCAAACTTTTATTACATTTCTTTACTGTTTAGTAAATGGTTATTAATGAATTTGTTGTTGTGCAACTGCTTATTCCTGTACAATAATGTTATTTTTCTCATGAGCATTAAGTAACATTGTACCTGGCCCTGCTCTAAGCTAATTACTTTCTGTTACAGCAAGTTATAGGTTGACTCTTGATGCTGGTAGCCATAGTGACTTGCTTATATTATAAGGCTACTGCCCAGAGAGAACAATGCCAGTCCGAGTCAGGGGTCAATCTGTTAAACTTGTAATCTTGACATTGCTGGTTTGATTACCAGGCTGGCCAACTATTATTACTTAAACGGTTTTTCAGATGAGACTAAATCGAGTGTAACACTTGGCATGTTAAATAACCAGGAGAAGCTTCTGGAATCGGGGCATGTTTCTGTATCTGTATCTTGCACTATCCTCCAAAGTCTAAAATGACTTACACTTTTTTGGAGGACTCGCCCATATGGGTAACTGGTGGCTAGTATAAATAAATTCAAATACACACACTAGTGTACATTAGTGCAGACCAAATATCATTCTGTAAAAAAAACAATACGGTTTTGCAATTCAATGACTTTAATCTGCAGGCGCCAGTTAATTCTACCAATATGACCAGTGCAAATCTGGAAGATCAGCTGGCACATTCATCTGATCATGGTGTAAACTGTTGGCTTTTCACTGAGTACTTAATGTGAAATTTTCCCTACAATATATTTTAAATTGATAAAGACTATGGAAGTCATCTCATCAGGTGACTGATATCAGAGATTTATAAAGCTGAGTAGTTAAGGTCACTGGGTGCAGCCAACTGCCACTCACAACTTTGAGTTCGAAGCCTACAAAGATCTTTGAACTCTTTCATGTAAGGAAGTGACAAAGGCAACAGAATTGGTGGCTCTACCTTGATTAACTCTGTTCCTTTGTATAAAACTATTAGCCAATGTTTTAAACAAGTTTTCATTCAGCTGTAGGTAATATCTCATTTTTGCATTGTGCGAAACTTTACACCATCACTGCAGCAGTCGGGCATATACAGTTACAAATTACAGGTCAGTGTACCACACAAATGTACCCTTTAATGGTGTGTTAATAACATAAGAGTCATAAGGATACCATTGTTGAAAAATACCACTTATCAACTTTCGAAAAGGTTACCTGACTTAAATTACAGTTGGCTTCATGAATCAGTAAATTTGTTTCTATTTTTAGATTGGTATAAATTACTGATTGAGATATATTTGTTATTATAAGTATGGATAAAGGCAATTTATTTTTGTGAAAATAAAGTTATCAGGGTAAAGAGTTATTATGTTGATGTTATTTTTGTAGCAAAATTATTAAAGCAATCAATTTTGTTTTATAGCTTTTCCAAGATGAGATAAAAATATGCCATGACATTGTAACAATTGTATTTTGATTTTCGTAGACTTTGTTTTGGATTTGACAGTATGTACATGCATGTATTTACAGAAAGCTTATCTCAAGATAACAATATTAAGATTATTAGTTTCAAATGTAGAAGAATTCATTATATACAATTATTACCCCATACCATTACACAAAGGTCGTCAGGTTCATCTTTACCCATAATGCATTTTAAGCACCGCCCCCCTTTACTCCATTGTTAAACCCTAAAAATCATTGATCATTTACAAAAGACCAGACAATAAAAAAAATCCCATTGATCCACCAATTATTAATGATGCCAGTGATATATAAAGAATTCCTTATCTCGGCAAAGATAACAAAAGATTATTTCTTTCAAGTCGTCTGCGTTTTTATTCTTATTTTTGGCTGTACAAAAGGTTTTTGTGTATTTGAGAAGTTTAAACGTTTTGTATGGCATGCTATCTTAGTTATCTGTTGAACTTTTCTAATTCTGATCTAGAGATAGGATAATTAGATTGGTAAAAAAAAAAACGCATTAGCTTAATGATTATTGTGAAACATTAGTTTATATACCTTAGTAAACCATCGAACCTTGCTATTTTATCTTCTATTTTCATTTAACACCCAATCTGCGCATTAAGCTTAAGGGAAAGTTAGAGTATTTAAGTCTAGGGTTTAAATTTTAAGGCATATTACATGTTAAAACAAGGCCTGACGTATGAAAATGAAATTTTTAGAAGGGTGGGGATAAGGTCAAAAGACCTGGATGGGATTTGTTAGTTCAATCCCCAATTAGGCACAGTTTGGCGCTTTGGTTGACTATGTGAAATGTATAAGGCCATTTGTTTATCACCACCATTTCTGATTACTTATGGGATGAAGTTAACAATTGAGTTGCCTGATATAGATATGGTATAGAGCCTGGTCAGACTGCACAGATGGGAAAGACTAATTTCTTTCAGTTCCATTAGGGCAAGGGTTAAAATTTTTGCCTTACATTAGAAATCTTTAACCTTACAGTTTGTAAATGTAAAAATTTAATGTTGTCCTGCAGATGTATCCATTTGTCTACCAGAGTAGTTTTGTCTTCTTTGCACCATTTCCCCTCATAACTTATACCCATAAAGTCAACGGCAGGAGTAAAATTCTCATACAAACTGTGTACATTTGCACAGTTGGAAAAAGTTTCAGTTGAATTTCAAGCTGTAGAAAAGTATAGATATCAAATTTCTTGTCAGTAGATAATATTATTTTTATCTCCAAAATGTTTTGAAGTGCCCTTAAGTTATTCTAATTTTGATGTTTCGATACACAAGATAGAATCACAAGTAGCGGCAGCTTGTCAGATTTTGTTATTATAGTGTATGATAATGACTGCGTGATATACGAGACCTTGACGATACTTGATAGCGTGTAATAAAGTAGGTCCCCCCTCCTTTTATGATAAAAATCGGTTCGGTACCTGTATTTACTATTGTCCCTATTTGCTTATTTTCGGTGTGTGAGATTTCTGATTCTTTATTATGTCTTGGTGCATTGTCATACCTAAAGTGCTATATTTTTGATGGATACCTACAAATATAAAAATTGTGAAAAACCGGCACATATTTATAATCTTTTAGTCTCATTATTGTAGAGTTTATAATTGCCTTTTACAGTGTTAGCGAATTGAGGGGTCACCTTAAGACAGAAATATGTTAGGGTATCTTTAACTCACCCTGGACACCCAAGTAGCAATTGAATACCTATGTTCATTCTAGCACTTCAGTGCAGTCCTGACTAGCTTAAACTTAACTCATTACTGATTATAGTTAGTATTTTGTATGTAAACTATTGACCAAACAATATAAATGATCAGCAGAAAGCTCCATATTATAATTCATAACCTGCGAGTTTCTTATTTGGAGTTGTCTTCCTTCCATTCTTGAACTGTTTATTATCATTTATTTTTCAATGAATTGAATAATTGAAGTCGGTCAGCCAACCCTACAGACTGCGCAGTTGAGCAGACTAGCCTCTCACTATACTGGTGGCAAAGGGTAGTCATTTTTGTTTCCTGTGCAGGTAAAGGTTTAGCTGGGAATTCGATTAATCCGTGTTACTATTGCCTCTACTATTGTAAACATTTAAGCCGCGCCATGACAAAACCAATGTAATGCGGTTGCGACCAGCATGGATCCAGACCAGCCTGCCCATCCGCGCAGTCTGATCAGGATCCATGCTGTTTGCTATCAGTTTCTCTACTTCTTATAGGGTTTGTAAGCGAACAGCATGGATCCTGATCAGACTGCATGGATGCGCAGGCTGGTCTGGATCCATGCTGGTTGCAAACGCATTATGTTGGTTTTGTCATGACACGGCTCATTTTAAATAACAAGTTTATTTTTTGCTATTTGTAGATTATCAAAGTTGAAGATTTTAGAGATTAGAGAAAACCATTTGAAGACATTACCAAAGTCTTTCTCTCGGCTAGTAGAACTGGAGAAACTTGATATAGGACAGAATGAGTTCAGTGAACTGGTAAGGATATAAAAATAGAGATAGTTATTGTCTAAGTACACTTTTAGTAGTGCTCTTGTAACAGCTTGAAATGCTATACAGAGTGGATTTCTGTGTTTGATCATACTAAGAAAGACTTTGTTGCTAGCATTTCAATGTATACACGTATGTAATCTATACGCCTTATAGTAGGGTTGTGATACTAACAGATTCTATTGTCATTTGTATCGTATCTTTATTGATATTTCAGCATTATGGCCTTTAATATAAACAAAAATCATGATTCCAGTAAAACCACTACAAAGTGGTGTTCTTAGAACAATATGCTGTTCTTAAAACTATATAATCATATCAAATTGTTATATTTTGATAGCCCCTTTGGCTTTTGATGGCTGAGGGGTTGCCTTTATTGGTTGAGGCAGAAAAATTGCAACCACCATTTATCTCTGTGTCATTGTAAGAGACAACTAAATGGGTTTTAATAACTGGATTCTATGCATCTCTTAGCTCCAGAAGGTGAGGTGGTTTTGACCCCTGGTGTTGCTTTAAAGTTTGTAGCACCAGAGGCTAGCCAAAATTATCTTTCCTGTTTCTACTCCATATGACATAGACTGTATTTGGTGCCGTAAAACCAAACAAACAAATATATTTTGATAAATGGCCATAAAGCTGAAAAGTCAGTAAAGATACATAAGTGATAATAGAGTCTGTTCATTTCAAACATAGTTACACAACAAAGCAGAAAAGAAAAAACCTGTTCTGGCTCAGATTTAATAAGAAATTTATGTTTGTTGAAAACTCCATACATAGGTTTACAGAAAACTTCCTCATTATTACTCTACTTGTATTTTATGCATGTCACCAATTTATTACAGGAAATAAAAGCACAATATTAAGTTCATGTTCATGAGAATTGTGTAGATTATATTAATAATTTTAATACACACTCAGTAAATGTAAAAGTGGAAGATCTAGTAGGAAATGTTTCGCAGCACCTGTATAAGTAAGGATCCTGGTTGTGGTTTGAAATTATTTTTTGTGTGAGAAAATGTTTCTTGCTTGCTGAAAGAAGATTGTGTTTCTAAAAGATAGTTTTAACTGTAAATGAGCCTTTCTTCAAATATAAAGCCTTGGAGGCACTATAATTGTTACAGTTCAAACCAGCAAGAAATACAGTTGTGTATAATTATGTACGTTTGTCTATTGTTAGTAAACTAATTTTTCAGCCTGATGTTATTGGAAGTTTGTCCAGTTTGTTGGAACTTTGGTGTGATAATAATCAAATACAGTCTATTACTCCAGTAAGTATGTTACAGGAATTTGAAAAACAGTTGTATTTGAAAATGTACATAACTGGCACAGGTTATGTTTTTACTTGACAATTGTTATACTTAGTAGATAACCTGTTATAAAATTGGTGAGTTTACTAGGGAATGTTTAGTTTCAAACTAAAGTGAAGATGACATTACTCTTCATTCAGCAGTCTGATTATTTAGTCACTTGACAATTTAGAAGCCCATTTGATTATTTCATTTGTCATTTGTGAATATATGAGCCCTTTTTCCATTACCCAATTTTGTTACTGTCTACATAGTAAAGAAAAGGAATGGTTTATAAGCAAGTCTATACTATTCAATGTGTATGAGTAATTGTGATTACAAGCACCTTTTATTCCCTATCACTATTAACTATTTAGCAAGCAAGGGCAGATTTAGCAAGGGCAAATTTAGTAAGGGCAGATAACTCAAAAACGAGAACGGTGACCACAATTATCATATTCTAACAACATGCCAAGTTTAAAGAAATTCTATTGAACATTTTTCATTTTGCCTATAATTAATGTCTATAAGAAAACTTCGGAAAACGTTCTTAAAGATAGACTACACTAATCCATAAAATTCTTAACTATTTTGTCTTATTTGAATAAAAGAATTCATAAATTGCATTGGAAGCTGCGCTCCCTATAACAGGTTAAGTAAAGTTAGTCTTGTGTAGAAATTGTCAATATTTTCTCATATCAAATTAGAGCATAGTATATCTTAAATGGAATTCAATTTGTATTATCTTCTGCAACACAAGAATTGCACATTGCACGCAGAGTTCAGAGCTTTGATAACATGTCATTTATTGCAGACAATTGGTAACTTGAAACAACTAATGTTCTTTGATGGTTGCAAGAACTGTCTACAAACTCTGCCATCAGAGATAGAAGGCTGCGTTTCATTGGCTGATCTTCATCTAACAACCAATCAGCTTCAGTCTCTTCCAGATTCTATAGGTGAATTAGGAAATCTTACAACACTGAAGGTGGATGATAATTTACTCACTACTCTACCACAAAACCTAGGAGGGTAAGTCGTTTGTAGCATCTTCTTTTGCAAAATACATTTATGTAAATACAAAGCAAATTGCATGATTACATTGTTACAGTCAAACCTTTGATCAACAAACAACTTAAACCTATAAAGGAAACATGCTACTAAATATCACAATTATACTTTTCTATATACTATTTCAGTACAAAATTACCTTTATTAAAGACCACCTTTCATCAAAGAACCCGTTTCCATTGTTTGATACTTCTCTTATTACATGTATATATTGTTTTAACACATATCCTTAATGGCAACAACAGAGTCTCCCCAAGCAACCAGTGCAGACCTAGATCAGCAGTTAGACCATAGTCTGCATTGTTTATTATTCAATTAGTACATATTTTAAAATTTCCTTAAAAGTAATAAATAGTTTTGTCTAGATTGAAAAATTGACAAGTCCATTTAAAATATTTAGTGATTATTACTGTACTGAATTGCACTTTACATCTTGAGTCATATTGTTTATAATATGAAATTGATATATAATATATTCCAGCTTGTCTGCATTGTCCGAGTTGAACGTTAGTGCAAATAGTTTACAGGAGTTGCCATCAAGTCTCGGACTTCTGAGATATCTACGAACATTATATGCTGATGAAAATGAGTTGAAATTCATTCCTGCAGAGGTAATCATTTTGTTAAAGAGTTCATCTTAATCATTTTGAATTAATTTTTCGAAAATATGAAATCTTCAAAACAAAGTGGTTACAGTAGTGCAGATTTAAAATTCATGCATTATGCAGGTAAACTGACTATATAGCAATATTTTTTTGCTTTTGTTACTGCCTTACATAAAATATGTGTGTGTGATAAAAATATCTATTTATTTATTGATGATTTTGGTTGGTTTTAACTTGGTACTGACACTTTTTTTTTCTTATTCCAAATTTCTTATTTTACTAATAGCTTTTCTTGCTTATGAAGGTCTATTATATATTTAAGGTAAGGAGCCGGCACCTTGATTGAAACACCTCAGTTCTACTTATTAGCTTGATAGTTAACACCAAAAACTTTGTTTGTTAAATTGCTAAATAAAGAATTAGGGTATAAAGTTGCACGGGGTACAATATGAACAACATTAGCCTCCTTACTGCATAATTATATGAGGTCAAACTATAGTACAAGTGAAATGTAAGGTGCCAGTTATAAATATTTAATAATTTATAAGATAGTTTAGGACCTGCTGATATTTTGAAAGGTTATTATTATATTTCACAGCTTGGTAGTTGCAGTGGTATCACAGTGTTGTCTCTACGGAGTAACAAATTGTCCTATATACCGGATGAGATAGGACGTATTCCAAGATTACGTGTTCTCAACTTGAGTGCCAATCAGCTGAGATGTCTTCCCTTTACAATTGTCAAGTGTAAGGAATTACAGGCACTGTGGTTGTCAGAAAATCAGGTATTGCTTTCAGGCTTTTTCCCCAAAAATTTTGAAGAGGTCTTAGCCTTTTCATTTTAGGAAATATAAGGGCAATATTTTGTCAAATTGAGGAAAAAGGGTTGTGACATAATTAAGTAAACCAAAAGTACTTCTGACAGTACTTATATTGTTACATTTATTACAATAGCTGCTGCTTTATCAAAACAATTGTCATAAATTTAATGTGTAGACACTGATCTTTATTATAAAATCCTTTCCTTGAATGGTCTGACTGAAATTGTCAAGAAATTCTCAAGTTTCCTATACATGTAGTATCAATTCCTAATAAAGTCAAGGAAATTTTGAAAATGAAGACAGACTTTTAACATTCTTTTTATGTTTATTACATAGACAAGACCATTGATTACCTACCAATCAGAGCATGAACCAGATACTGGACGTAAGATTCTTACCTGCTACCTCTTGCCACAGAGACCACTTCAGGAGTCAGGTAACCAAAATAAATTTACTTAATTATTATGTCAATAGTTGGTAAAATACAGTATATCATACAAGTGTAAAAGAAATTTTATGAAATACCTTCACTCGTCTATTGCATTATACATAAGTTTTTTGAAGGCTGTGATTTTTAAATGATTCTCTTCATTATTTTCTCTTCCTTATTGGTCTAATTTTTTTTTTTTTATTTAAATAAATAAGTGCTTAATCCTTGATACTTTGAAACAAGACCAGCCAATTGTCACAACATCTGATTGAGTTAAAGACCAGAAAAATTTACAAAATTGTATTGATGTATAAAAATAACTTTTAACAGCTGTCACAAGTCTGTTCAGAAAAAAACACAGCATGTAAATGGTCAAATATTGTGTAAGTTTGTTTATATTTTATCAGGTGATCATGGTGGAGATACTGACAGTTTTCACGCCTCCATGTGGGAGGAAGAAAGACGTAACAGGCAACAAATACATTTTGAGTTTGGTGATGATTCTGATGTTGATGTGAGTGTTGTTATATAAATACTGTTTGTATTGCTGTAATATGTCTCCTAGGATGATTTATTATCTCTTACCACCCAAAAATATTATCATTCATCAGTTTTAGGGATAATTTCAGCTGAATAGCGAACAGTGCAGACCATGATCATATTGCACAAATATGCCTACTAATCTTGGTCTGTACTGGATGTTTGGGTAAATTCATTTGCCACAGTGCGGGTTTTTCTGTTGCTACAATATGGGTTTAGAATTATAGTTACTGATTTTGAATCAACAAATGCTCCATGTAATTTTAAAAAACCAAGAAGAGTTGGATTATGTCACTTAGTAAATTTTTTTCAAGATTGATGGATTTTAGCTCATGCATGATATAATGCACAGAAAACTTTCTAGGGATATTCCTATGCAAGTAAAAGCTTGAAAACTACTATATGAAAATAAAATTTGTATTAAATGTAACTGTGAAAGTATCACGAGGGAGGTTTTGACTTAGAAGTTTAATGTAAAATTTATATTTACTAAATAAATTTTAATCCGGGGCATTTAATAACCATCTAAAGTGTTACTTATAGGTGTGAAATATTTCAAATTTGTCTCAAAGTTTATGAATGGTAATTGTTGGTAATAAGATTATATAACATAATGTTATTAACATTTCACGTACAGGGCAGTTTAATACGTCAACCAACACCATACCCGAAAGAAATGAGGGAGAAAGCTCGGCACCTCAAAAATCTTGCCCTTAGACAACAAATGAGTAATGGATCTAGTGTTAGACAAGGGGAAGATAACCCAGCTTATGAAGAGGTAAATGAAGAGTTACCCCCCTTTCATATATATTTCTTGTCGTAGTATGTGAAACTTTCTCTGTCATATTATTTTCTGTTTTTGCTTAGTTCTGCAATGAAGCTTTCAATGATAATATCTTGTTACATAAATTTAATGAAATTATCCAAAAAAAAGAAACACAAATGAAATGAAATTAGGCAGACTGAATCTTATTTTGATTTGTCTAACAAATTAAAAAGTTAGTAAAACATGTCAAAAAGGATTCATGGTTTTATCAATATCAAAAGCTGAAGGAATATTACTATGTTGATACATGATTTCACAGATTCTTGTTTAAATTCTAATGCAACATGAGATTTATTGATTTTAATTGATTCTGTGAATTTTTCGAAATTCTTTTTATGTAAATGTGAGCATCTAGGTAGGGTGAATCTTAAAGAAAATGAAGTTCTGTAAAGACATTGTACATGCTGTTATATAAATTAATGAGAATTGTTTAAATATTTGTTTTATTTTTGTGAATATTGTTATTTGTTTGTAGAAATTCTTCTTAATACCGGTAGAAATTTTAGAAAATAAATATGTAGAATATATAATGTATTTTAATATACTTTGGTTATGGGTTATTTTGTTGTTAATTTTACTTGATCTTTGAATAGGACACCTTCTATTGGGGGTTTACTTCCCTATAAAAACAAGGTTCAGATTGTGAACTAAAGAAGATATGAATTTCTTATTTGGTTATTAAAAATGTAAAATGTAAAAAAAAAGGTGATAAAATTGAATTTTTTTACATGAACATTTGTAATTCTACATGTTTATGAATTTGGTTTTTGAAGTGGGATTTCTTAATGCCAGTAAACTTAATGTATAAAAAATAGTTTACTTTTAATGTAGATTAACAAAATTTTGTTGTTATTTTAAGTTTTCTGTGATATTTTTTAACAGTTTATTTTTTCGCTTGAAGTGTTAATTATTAAGTTTGCATGCTTACGGCTTATTTTGCTATTATTTCCAGCGGAGAAATAAATCATCGGTGAGCTTTAAATCACTGTTTGTATGCATATATATTGGATGTATACATTTTTATGCCCCCGCCATGTAATGGCCGGTGCATATAGTGTTACCCTGATCCGTCATTCCGTCATTCTGTCATTCCGTCATCATCAGTTTCCGTTCATTATCTTAGTAACGATTGCACACATTCAACTCAAATTTGACAAATGGATATGTCATGAGAAAATACAGGTCAAGTTCGAATTTGGTCATGGTTCGATGATTTTTGGCAGAGTTATGCCCCTTTTACTTTAAAATAATATGAAATTTTCAGTTTCCGCTCATTATCTCCCCAATGGTACAACACATTCAACTCAAACTTGACATATGGATATGTCTTGAGAAAATACAGGTCAAGTTCGAATTTAGTCATATTTCGATGATTTTTGGCAGAGTTATGCCCCTTTTACTTTAAAATAATATGAAATTTTCAGTTTCCGTTCATTATCTCCCCAACGGTACAACACATTCAACTCAAATTTGACATATGGATATGTCGTGAGAAAATACAGGTCAAGTTCGAATTTGGTCATGGTTCAATGATTTTTGGCAGAGTTATGCCCCTTTCACTTTGAAAATAATATGAAATTTTCAGTTTCCGATCATTATCTTCCCAATGGTAAAACACATTCAACTCAAACTTGACATATGGATACGTCACAGGAATGCGCAGGTCAAGTTCAAAGTTGGTCATGGTTCAATGATCTTTGGCAGAGTTATGCCCCTTTCACTTTGAAAATAATATGAAATTTTCAGTTTCTGTTTATTATCTCCCCAACGGTACAACACATTCAACTCAAATTTGACATATGGATATGTTTTTGGAATGCCCAGGCCAAGTTGGAATTTGATCATGGTTCAATGATTTTTGGCAGAGTAATGCCCCTTTCACTTTGAAAATAATATGAAATTTACAGTTTCTGTTCATTATCTACCCAACAACTCAAATTTGACATATGGATATGTCAAAGGAATGGGCAGGTCAAGTTGGAATTTGGTCATGGTTCGATGATTTTTTGGCAGAGTTATGTCCCTTTTACTTTGAAAATAATATAGATACATCGTAGGAATAAGCAGTTTAAGTTTGAATTTGGTCGTGGTTCAATGATTTTGGACAAACTTATCTTTCTTGAATGTTGGAAAAATTTTGAACTTTCAGTTTCAGTGCTGAAATGTATGTAGCCATTATTTTGGCTACAAATATGAAATATGCTATTTTCAAAAGGTTTAGACTGAAAAATTTCAGTGCCTTGAACATTGTATGAAAATGGTTTGTGTTAACATTGAAAAGTTTTAAGGGCTTTGAACTTAAAATGAAAAAAATAATTTGTGCAAACAAATTTGGAACTAAATATTATAACATTTGAAATTTTGGCTGCATGCGGGGGCATCCGTGGCATGATGACACATTTCTAGTCTTTATTATCATATTATATACTTATCATACTTATAACTATTCTTACTCATTTAACCCAGTTATATACAAAAAAACAAAAAACAATAACATTTTTATCTAAGGCAACAGATGTGCCAATGGTCAAAAAGGGGGATATTTAAATCTACAGGCTGAAAAAAACAACCAATTTTAACAGCATTTCAACCAATGATATGGATCACCATTCTATTAAAGATTAAAACCCTGATTAGAGATGAGACTTCCTCTTGAAAAAAATTTCAGCATTTTTTATGCCTGATAAGCAAACAAGTTTATTTATAGAAAACTTGCATTTATGAGCAATTGTTTACATTAAGTCTTAAGATGAAATTTTATTGTTATATATTTGGGTTGTGAGTATGAATTGATATAAATGGAATGTTTATTTTTCTTTAAATTTCAATTTTTCTGTTAGTTAAATGAAGTATTTATTATCAGAGTATAAATAGTAACATAACAAAAGTCATTTATTGATTAAATTTGTTTCAAGGAAAGATCGTCACATGCACTATTTTGAAAATTTAGAATGTTTCAATTCCAAATAGATTGTAACTTTAATATTGTAACTTTATTATTATCATGATTTGTCAATAAAAAGATTAATGAAACAAGTACTGATAATAAATACTGACAGGGAAAAAATGATTTCACAACTTATGATATAATGCATGGGTTATTGATCTTGCAATATTATATTCTAAACCTCTTATATTAACCTCCCTTTTAATTTGCATGCCATTTAAATTTATAACAAAAAGAAAGAATAAAAAGATTGTATCCAACTAGAAGTTTATAGTAGTTTTTGAACATGCCCCATATAGTCTTTAGTATTTTTATTCACCTTGATACTTAAATGTTTTGTTTTGTTTTTTTGTTCTTTGTTGTTATTTTTAAACTTATATTTTAAATTAGTATTTTCCCCATCTCTGGAACAGAAACATTTACGAATTTTGCATATAGAGTAAAAATTTTATGATTGTATATATTATGGTGTTTCATTGAAATTGTTTAAGAGGTAATGATTTAATTAAAAGACATCAATGCAAAAAAAACTTACAGGAGGGTTTTGAGATCTGTTTAAGCTTACAAGAGGGTTTTGAGATCTGTTTAAGATATGTTAATTAATAATGTTGCTTATTACTGAAAATTTTTGAGAATTTCTAAAGGTTCTACGAAGTATGGAAATTTTTTCTGATTTGAACATTTCGATATTGTTTCAATCGTATTAATGTCAAGGAAATACTTACCATATTATGTTACTTTATATTTTGTCAGTTTCTTTTCTCCTTTTACTGATTGTTGAGGTTAAACATGAAATTTAGTTCAAATTCTGCACCACATTTCTTTAAAAAAAAATAAATAAAAAAAACAAAAGATTAAAAAAAAAAACCCTTCTGCACACCTAATTCTGATGTGTTTGTATTTTGAAATAAGAAGAGATTGAGCACAGCCTCTGCTTATGTTGGTTTCTGTATATATTTTCAAGGGAAACTAAAACTACATTATATTACATCAGATCACTGTATATTGAATAGCTTTTTTGTCACTGATCTGCTTCATGTTTGTTATCAGCCTGTTTGTATATGTGTGTTTGTTTGTATTTCTGTATGTAAGCTAACTAACCCGTGTTTGTATTTCCGTCACCTTACATTAGAACATCTCTACACTTAATTAACTCCAAGAAGGTGATGGTTTGATGGACGTTACGTGGGCGAAGCCTGGTTTTCTTGCTGACCTTACACTCTCTATAAATATGACAAGGTACTTCCATGATTTGTCTTCAATTTCAGATACAAAACATGCATCTGTTTTTGGGGGATTTTTTTATTATTATGAAAAGTCAATATACAGGATTGGAGTTATTCTCAAATACGGCATAAGATTTTTATTTGTAGTTTGTTCTAAATCATACTTGAGTGAAATGTGTTAGAAAATTGCCAGTAGTGCCTTTAAAACAATATTGTTTTAGTTTAATATTTAGATATTTCAAGTATCTATGGATTTTTGCATGTGAGAAAGCTATCCAGTTAGGTTACAGAACTAAGGTGCCTGTTTGTGCCTGAAATAATGCACGTAGAGACACCTGAGTTCCTCCTCCAACAGTAAAGCTTGAAAGTTGCCATATGACCTATACTGTGTTGGTGCAATGTAAAACCCAACCAAAATATAAAAGAAAATTCAAGATATTAAGCTAGACCATTATGAACTTAGAACTACAACTTTAATGGATTTTAAATATCAAGATGATTAGATTGAGACCTTACTTGAGTTCAGACTTACTGTTAGTTTAAATTGTTGGCCAGCCTGGACACAGATGATTTCAATTTGCCTGTAGGACTAGGAGAGGATAAACTGTGAAACCATTAACATAATGGCTTTTCCTTGCTTTGAAATTTGAATTTAGTAATCATCAAATACAAAAATTTAGTTACCAACAATAAAAAGCCTGGTCTGTCCTGCACATAAGTACAGACTTACCTTGCTCTGAACTGGTGGCCAAGGCTTAGACATTATTTGTTTTAGCAGTGCAAGGGTTAAAAATAATCAGTGTGGCTTTTTTGCAGAATTATTTATGTATAAACTAACTTTAACCTGATATAGTTTACATGTTTAGAAGTAACAAAAGAGAAACACAAATGTAGATAAAAAAATAGCTTAATGTTATTTAGACTTTTTTATGGCTTAAAAAAAACTAAACTTATGAAATATGATAAATTAGTCATAATGTTTGACACTGTTGATACTTTTCTTTATTAATATCTGGATGATACTAACAATAATCTGTTTGTATTATAGGAAAAGTTGGCGAAAGACAAGGCTCGAATGCTTCAGCGACACTCCCAGTCTTACGAGACTGACGATGATAAACGTTCGCATAAGAAACATGGAAGTCGAGACAACTCTCCGACTGCTTCGGAGCGTAGTACAAGAAAAGGTAATTGTTAAAAAGCGCAGAACAAGTTTATGAGCTGTCCTAAAATTTAAAACATTTTTAATAGGATTGGTCAGTATAATTACTAGTACATGGAAATACTTATTTCTTGTTGTGGATAATGACAAAATTCTACATGTGGATTATTTTGTACTGTTAACATAAGAAAGTTGATGAATCTTGTTGCATTCAAACATTTTTGGTTTATTCCTGGTTATATTGTCAATTTGACATATGTAATATAGAGATACCTTGTACTTTAAATACCAGTTACATATTTATAATGACCTCCATTGTGATTACAAAAAGAAGGAAAAATCTAATATTGAAGACAACAGACGATGGATGATGGTTGTTTTCAAGGGGACCTAGAGTTAGCTTCCCTTGGATCTACACCCAGATATTTCTACAGCTGTTAGTGGGAAAGGGGCGGCATCAAACAAATTCACTTACTGCTCACCTGCAGAACTGTCTCAAAATATAGCTTCTAAGGTAATTGGGTTTAATTTTTTGTTTATTCATGTTTGTTAGGAACCTCTGTGGATAATCTTCTCACCTGTAATTATGGCTGCGCTAGTTGCGGATCAGGGGTTACCTTTAAGGTTGAGGCATCAAGAATTGCAAATCACCGTGATCATAAAAGGCGACTAAAACGGTTTGGGAATTACTGAAATATATTGCATCTATTTGGGCTCCAGCAGGTGAGGTGGTTTTAACCTTTGGTGGTTGCTTTAAAAGTTTGTTAACACCCCGGGTTAGCCAAAATCAGTGCATATGAACCTGAAGTAATGTTGGTGAGCCATAAAACCAAATAAACAAAATAGGTATACATGCCTGTTTAAGTAACTTATTACTTCATATTTCTTTCAATGTGAGGAAGCTATCCACTGGCTTACTGAAAGGGTTGTTTGGTAATACCCTGAAATATTGCACACCCGAATATCTTCCCTCCATAACCTAAAGGCTTTGGAGTGTCGCCAAATATTGTTCCTTGACAGTGTTGGGGAACATAAAAAAACATAAACTAAAAAAACCCTGCCCATCTTAATCTTGGGGTAAATCCCTTCGTTGTAAAGCAATCTTCATGTTGAATGGTTTTAATTCTGCTGTCTGCCTGTGCCAGAAATGAGAATAGTTTGCCAATCTGAGGGACTTCCTTCATTTGGGTTTAGAAAACGAACAAATCTTATTGTATTATGACAGTTATAAGAACAGGCTATTCTTCATCTTAGTGAACGTTTTACCATTAAATTCAATTTTAATGCAGAGAATTGATTTAAATGTGTTTATATAAATAGTTGGCAATGATTACAGAAAAGAAATAGTCAGAATGAAAACACTATTTTTGTAAAAAAAAAAGAAATATGTCATGTCACAAACCCAATTTATGAAATCATAATTAAAAATCTCCATATTTTGCAGTAACAGACAATCCTAGAAGCCCATGGCTTCACATGGAAATCACCCCAGATTCCTTCAAGGCAACGTAGAATGCGAGGATTCGATTCTGATTACAGGTTAAGAAGTGAAACCAAGAGCTTTTCAAATTCCGCCAACAACAACAACAAATGTACCAAAAGACTTAACGACAATTATAGTGAAATAGTGCCAGTGACCGACCAAAAAGGTCGTTAGACGCGACGGTTGTATTCTAAGTGACCTTGGCAAGGATAAATTCACAAAAGGGTCAATGGGTGGCTGCATATCATGAAACTAGTGCCCTGTTTGATTAATAGGAATTTATAGTAATCCGAAAATAATTCAAATTGACTCGTAGTTTTTACGTATGACCGAACCAGCAGGGTTTTTCCACCAACCAAGTCTCATTCTCAATCTCGCATTAGTTGAAACAGTAAGAAATGACGAACTGTATGAACAAACACCATGGCCGACCCGAGTTTAAGTCATTACCCCATCCTTCCTCTTTCCTAGTCCTTTACAAAAAGAAAACATTGTCGATCAATCAACACCATTGACAAAACCTAATCCAACGAGGAGTAATTTATAAAAAAGTAAATGATAGCTCCGAGTTTGAGTTAATTAAAAAGAATTTGTTTAATTGCCCAGGATCAACCCCATTTAAGAAATGATGGAATATATTGATCCTGAAAACAGATATATGGTGAGATATGATAATTTTATGTCCATCTTTTTAACCATTTTACCTGCTGACTTTGTATTATGGTTGAGCTTGTTTTTGATAGATTTTGATATCAAGATGGCATTGATGATACATTATTTTTACTGCTACTTTTGTAGCAAAACAAATTTTGAAATTAATTTAAAAATGATGATTGAAATAATAAAACTTGTCAATGAGTTGTGTTGAAAATCAATCCCAGATTTTGGTATTATGTAACAAAATGTTAGAAAATTTTAGCTAATAAATCTCTAAATGTTAAATTAGAATGATTGTTTAGACATTTTGATCTTCATTGAAGGACAGAAAATGGTTTTTGATTTAAATTTCATTCCCTATACTATTATAAGCTTGAGAAAAAGGGAAAACTATTGTTTCCCTTTTTCCAGTCAAACCCTACTTTTTTTAAAAATTTTTTGTACAACAAAGGTTACTCCAAAATTTTTGAAAAGGGAAAGGGTTTTAAACTTCCCCACAACCGGGCTACCCCTAAACATGCAAGTCAAAAATGTTTTGGATAGTGAAATTTCAATCTGGGAGTCCGAAACCCGCTTAGTGGAAAATTCCAAAAAACCCCGATTTTGTATTAAATTGAAAATTTTGGGGAGCCAAAAAAAGTTCCCTAAGGGAACTCTGTTCTATTTTCTTAACCCTTTCACTGCCCCTAAGGGGCGGCCCTTTTGCCGTCCCCTTTAAATTTTCGGCGTATTTGCCAAAAAAGGAATGGTTTTTTGCCTTTTTTTTAAAAATAATAAAAAATTTAAATAATAATAAAAAAATAAAAGAAAATTAACCATGGGCCCAATAATTATTATTAAAACTAGCAAGATTTGGAAAAATATTATAATAATTATTAATAAATACTAATAACAAATAATAAAATAACTAAATTAAAATAAATATAGTAATTTCTTAGAAACCCTCTTGGTAAATAGGTGGATCAATTTTAAAACAATTTAACCCCTCCTGGCAGCGAAAGGTTTTAAGTGTTCACACACATATTTTATTTTCTTCTCTGCATATAAAAATTATAGTCAGCAAAGTTTTTTAACAATGTTAACATTAAATTCAATTTTGCAGCCAAATACTTCTGTGCAAAATCTCCAGGGATCCAATAGAGATTGATAGCAGGCCAGTACCAAAACCTTACAAAACCTGCCCCGCCATTATCCCTCAATCACCAGGGCAACGAAAAACTACCACAAAACACCAAACATAGGGAACTTCGCCTTACGACGGTGTTATCAATGTAATGATTCGAGCAAACCAGGGGGAATTCTCCAATGAAGGACTTTTCAAACCAAACGGCAATGCCAGATATTAAAGGGGAATTTCTAGAGACCAGTAACACATCTTTAAATAGGTCAAGGTCACAAGCTGAATGGGTAGAAATAGTGACCTTGACAATGGAAAGAATGTATAGAAAATAGTGACAATTACAGTAGGAGTTACTATGGCTGATACATGTGACAAAGTGAGTTCGCCGGACCATCAACGTCGGACAGTGCTAACGTGTCAAGAACGTTTATAGTGCTCACAACCAAAAGGTGAAAACGTCACATCAGCCGTCATCAAAAACGGATTCTTGGGGTAACTATAGTTACCCATGGAACAGAAACACTAGGTGAACATCCACCAAAGTGAAACCTGAGATAACTCGCTTAAACAGGTGTACAGGAAAGACGTGGGTCGCGGAAATTCTCCTTTAGATTATATTCATGATCCAAACGGAGGAATTTTTTGACAGATAACGATCATTCTTTCCCCGTGAACCAAACAACCCTGTACATATACCAAACTAGGTCGATGAGGATAGCTATGTATAAAATGATGAACCACCAACATCTCAAGTAATCTAGTTCTACTGATAGTGGATACGGGCATAAATTTATTTGAAAAAAATGCTCGAGACGCAGAGATTCTCAGGGTAAGCATTCTAATTTGACATGTAGCTTTTACTTGTTCTTGTAACTTCCTTTCTAAATAAATATCAATTCACCTATAAATGTTATTTAAATTAAATGTTTGTCATATATAATGAAGAAAATCCTAGAATAAACAAAAATGTTAAATTTAATTTTGGTTAAAAAAAAGAATTGGGTAATAAGTAAAGTAAACCTCTGGAGTTAAATGAACAATGTCGGGTTGTTATAACATAGACAAATAAAGCAAAAAACAAATCACAATTTAAAAATATACAAATATTAATTTTTTTCTTAAATTGTTGAATTCTTGATAGAGTGCTTCATTGTCGTCCATATTACCAACATATGATTGATAACTTCCCTGTTTTTTTGTTAGAAAATTCATAATGTCCTTAGTAATTTGTTTTGGTATTTGGGGAAATTTTTTGTAAAAACAGAACTTCACTAATTTTTGGAGATTATCCTTTAGTTTAACATTTTTATTGCCCATTTTTTACATGTTTACAAAAATACATACAAATAAAAGTTATATATCAAAATCAAATGGGTTTGGGCAACAAGTTCTTCCACAACATTAAGATTTAAAGCCCTTCCCGAATTATCCTTTGGTGAGAATAAAGTCTTTGTTTTTTGGCCAGGGGAAAACTCATAATTTCTTCTTTTAGAAATGAGCTTATACAGTTTTCTCATTCAATTAATTCCTATCATCAATGGCATGATTTCAGTAGACAAAAAAACTTCTAAGATATTTTAGAAGAATATTTGTACCATTAATAATTATTATGTCATAAATATGAGCTGCGTCACAACAAACCAACATAGTGCGTTTGCGACCAGCATGGACCCAGATCAGGATCCATGCTGTTCGCTATCAGTTTCTCTACTTGTAATAGAGTTTTTGGTAAAGCGAAAAAGGGATGGATTCCTGGTTGGCGGGCGCAGGGGGGTCTGGATCCATTTTTGGTCCAAACCATTTCGTTGTTTTTGTGTGACACACGGAATTATTTTGTTTGTTTTCAGGAAAAACCTAAAAGGATCCCATCTCCGTCACTTTAAATTCAGATTTCTAAACTTCCTCCTCCCACCGGGATGGTGCTGGTATTTGGGGGCACCTCTTTTTTGGTGATACAGATTACCGGCGCGTCTTCAGGGCAGCCACTAATTTGTAGGGGTAAAATTTAGAATGGGCTTTGTAACATCATTTACAAACTTGGCCAACTGAAAATAGGGAGGTCATGTTAAGAACCTGGGTATGAGACCCCGAACTTTTAAAAAGGCTTTTAATGTTTTTTTTAAAATTTACAATTGTTTTCATAAATTTTTGGTATAAGCGATTTTTTTCCAGAAAACATTTTTAAGTTAGTTATTTATTAAGCTAGTGGTTTTTTTCCTATCAAAGTAAATGCGTGCGTTTAAGTAGAAACAGTTATGAAAGAATTTTGTCCCTTGTTTCAAATTCATAATTTTCTAAAAGAGCTTTTTATTCAATAATGTGTTGTTGAAACGGGGATTTTTGTTTGTATCCTTTTTTCTTTTCGATACATTTTTTCTGTAAAAATATGAAGTTTATTCGCCACCTTTTATTTTGTTAATGCCTGATTTGAAGTAGTAGTTCAAATGTAAAATTGCCAGGGGAAGCCTCTTCTTGGGTCGGTGGACTTCAACACTGAAGTGTACCGATTGTGTCTGAAATAATTGCACTGGGACACATGAATTTTTTTCCTCTTCTGTCGTCATATGAATTTTTAAAGTTGCTGATTTTGCTAAGATCCGGCAACCAAACTCAGATGTTAAAGGGTCAATTATAAACTACAAGTGTTTTTCTCATGTTTAATTTAACAAATCATTTCTTAGATTTGACCCAAACTCAGTCGATGGAGGCTTTTGCCGTTCTTGAAGGGAAGAAAAAACCCCAACTAACTGCCAGGCTGAAAAGGGTTTTTATTTTTCTTATACCCCCACTTTGGGTGGCCACAATTAGCTCAATCTCATAGTCCCAAACCTATACCCGCTATATGTTTTTTTTTCCAGCCCAAAAAAATCTTTCCCCATTAAAATTAAAAACCCTTACCAAAATTTTTTTTTCTTTTCTAACCTTTTTTGTATTCAAATTTATTTTTCCCTTTACAAAATTTAAAAATGGGGAAAAAGTTTAAAAGTTCCCAAAATTTCCCTTAAACATTCTCATAAAAATTTCCATTTGTATGGAACCCGGTTTTTTTAAAATTTTGGGGAAGAGAAAATTGGAAATTTAAAGCAAAAGGGTGCCCAGTATAAAATTAAAATGAATTAACTCCTACCCCCCTGAAGTAACATCCCGTATTTGGAATTGGGGAATTTAGAGTG